TCCGAGCAAGCACTCGCTTCGCTATCCTCCAAGCAGAACGGTGTCAACCATCTTTGAGTCGGTGTGGACCTGGGTGTTGGGGTACTCTTTGATGATGGAGAGATGGAAATCGTCGTCATGGAAGATGGCGACGATGTCTGATTTGGAGATTTTTTGCTGCTGTTGTTGTTGCTGCTGCTGCTGCCACTGTTGCCGTTGTGGTTGTAGTAGTTGTTGTTTAATGTCGTTGGACTTGGATTTTCGTCGTTGTTGTTGAAGATGTTGTTGTTGTTGAAGATGTTGTTGTTGTTGTTGTTGAAGATGTTGTTGTTGTTGTTGAAGATGTTGTTGTTGTTGTTAGTCGGGAATAAGAAGATTTGGTTGTCGAAAAAGTTTAGGCTGCTGATTGGAGATACGCTGTTGTCGTTGGTGACTGTCGTGCTGCTGTTGTTCATGTTGTTGTTGTTGTTGTTCATGTTGTTGTTGTTGCTAAGTTTGAGGGGCAGTTGGACCGGGATGAAAATCTGCTATGGGGAGAAACATCGCAACATCATTTAATCAATCAGTCAATCAATCCAATCAGTCAATCAATCCAATCAGTCAATCAATCCAGTCGGTAAGTCTGCCAGTCAACCATGCAATTATTTAATAAATCAGTAAAAGTTATTCATTTAATCAATCAATCGATCAACTAACCAACACACCAGCAAACAATCAGATAACAAACAACTACAAATCAGTCAATCTTGAAAACAACCTGCTGCATATTAATATTCTGCGATAACAAATTCAACTGCGTGGCCAAAGTTCTAGACTGTTCGATCAACATAGGTGATGATAGCAGTCCGGGCGACAATGATAACGACGATGATGCTAGCGGTAGTGATAATGATGGTGGCCGCGATGATGACGACGACGACGATGATAAAAGTGGCAATGTAAAGGATGGCGACAGTTGGAATAATGACGATGATAACGTCGACGATTGACGCGAAGCTGCTGTCGCTTCTTCTGCTGCTGCTGTCGCCGCTTCTTCTGCTGCTGTCGCCGCTTCTTCTGCTGCTGTCGCCGCTTCTGCCGCTGCTGCTGTCGCCGCTTCTGCTGCTGCTGATGAGAATAGTGGCTGCGATGATGATGATGACGATGTCGGAGAGATGATTACGATCCCCTGTCGAGTCAGTAGCGAAGAAAAGTCAGCTGAAAAGTAGAAAAAAATGATCGCGTAACTATTTTACTATCCTCATCGTCATCGTCACCATCATCACAATAACAATAATAATGATAATAAAATAATCAGAGTAATAATAATAAAAATTAATATTTTATCATTTACTTTTATAGCTATACGATCTGTTGACGACATCCATAATGACGTTATCATCATCGGCATTATTATTATTATTATTATTATCATTATTATTATTATCATTATTATTATTATTATTATCATTATTATTATTATTATTATTATTATTATTATTATTATTATTATTATTGCTATTGTTGACACCGATGTTGTAGTCTGGGTAGTGATAGATGAAATTCTTATTGACAATAAAGCTGACTGCGTTGTTGCTATTATTATTTATACTATTATTATTATTATTATTATTATTATTATTATTATTATTATTATTGTCAGTAGTAGTAATAGTATTATTATTATAATTGTTGTTGTTAATGTTAATTACATTATCGTTATTAATGTTATTTGCAATGTTATGGCTTACATTATTATTATTATTATTATTATTATTATTATTATTACCGTTATGAGTATCATTATTGTTAATATTATTGCCGCTAATGCTATTAAAAATTAAGTTATTTTTAGAATTAGCTCCGCCCATTTGAAATTTCCTTGACGGCGATTGGACGGGCTTGAACCCTTCCAGCCTATCAGAGCGAGACAAGCTTAGGATATCTGAATTTTGGAGGGAAAAATGTGATAAAAAATAATTATTAATAATAATTAACATTAGCTATAAATCTTAATTATATTATAAATAATTTGATAATTAAATAATAGACATTTTTAATTGAACTGATATTGTCAAGAATAAAATCTCACCAGTCCTTTTGTCATTGATGCTGAAGTGATGAACGCTAGAAGCTATATTAGGATTACTGATATTGATGTTATTATTATTATTATTATTAATTATATCATTATTAATTATATTATAATTATCATAATAATAATCGCTGTTGTGGTTGTTGATGCTGTTGTTGTAGTCTTCAACCCCAGATACGGTAATTCTTCTAATTCTTTTGGTCATCATTGAAGTCGTTGCTGAGGCCGCTGTTGTGGTAGTTGTAGTAGCCGCTGCTGCTGCAGTAGTAGTTGTATCAAATGACGTCATCATTGCGTCATCATCGTCGTTAACTCTCGTGCTTTTGAAATCGCGGTCATTCATCCTCTGGACTGTGTGCTGAAAAGTAAGGTAAATAATTAAAATTAATAGCGCTGAGTTGGCACATCTGTTGTTACTATTAGTTATTATTATTATTTATTTATTTTTATTATTATTTATTTATTATTATCATTTATTTATTTATTAGTATTATTATCATTGAAGCAATTTTCAAATGTTTAAAAATCGTTTTCAAAAGTTAATTCAATTTCAAACTCCCTCTCTCAATTTTAAAATCGACTTATCTGTCCATTTACATTGTAGGTTCTTTTTCTTAGAAGAGATGATGACGATGATAATGATGATGTAGGTAGTGATGATGACGACGACGATGGTGGTGGTAATATAAATGGCTGTCGAATGATAACAGATGGCGACAATGATGATGAAAAACATGATGAAAATTTTGGAGGATGGGCTGCTGTTGCTGTTGTTGTTGTTGCAGTTGAGTATAATGATGGTGACGACGACGACGACAATGATGATGATATGATTAAAAGTTTGCTATTGTTGCTACTGTTGTTGTTGTTGTTGTTGTTGTTAATGTTAATGTTGTTGTTATTGTAGTTTTTCACATTCCTGACATCGTCATCGTTATTATTGCTAGAGGGGGCGTTCAAATTATGCAAGCAAATGTGTAGCATTTGTGGTTGCTGCTGCTGCTGCTGTTGTTGTTGTTGGTTTAATTGTTGTATAATGTATTGTTGTTGTTGTATTTGTGAATCTTCGTTCTGTTTTTGAGGCTTTAGCAAAATGAATTGTTGTTGCAATTGCTGTTGTTGCAGCTGCTGTTGTTGCTGCAGCTGCGGCAGCTGCTGCAGCTGCTGTGATTGCTGCAGCTGCGGCAGCTGCTGCAGCTGCTGTGATTGCTGCAGCTGCTGTGGTTGCTGCAGCTGCTGTGGTTCTTGGTGCTGTTGATGTTTTTGAGGAGTTTTATCTAAACCAACAACATCAATTACTTCATCAGTAGTGTTGATTTTACTGTTGTTGTTGTCGTCGTCGTTGGCGCTGACGTCACCAAGAGCAATGACGTCACCGCCAGCGCAACCGCCATCATCAACGTAGTTATGATTATTGTTGACAATTAACTCATCGACATCATATGAGTTAGCCATTACAATATCTTTTGATGGAGTCGTCATTGTCTTCGTCGACTCTGTTGGTAAGAGAAAAAAAAACTTGGAATAAATCATCATCATCATCAGCAACAACAACATCAACAACAACATCATCAGCAACAACAACATCATCATCAACATCATCATCATCAACATCATCATCATCAACATCATCATCATCAACAACATCATCATCAACAACATCATCATCAACATCATCATCAACATCATCATCATCAACAACATCATCATCATCAACAACATCGTCGTCGTCGTCGTCGTCACTAACTCAACGGCATAGGCAGCCTGAGGGCTATAAATAGATCAAGTTCTCGACACTCAACTAATATGTGATGGGGATTAATACATAGCGCCCTCTTGCACGTTGAAGTTCGAACAACCTTTTAAATTGTTAATATTATTATTATCATTATTGTTGTTTAGTTTTATTATTAATTATTATTGTTATAATTATTATAATATCAACAACAATAATAATAACAATAGCAATAATAACATACCCTCTCTCCATCCGTATTTTCTAGCGGCACAGCCCTGAACAAAATAACCATCACAAGATCAAGCCGCCAAATTTTATCTGACTGCAACAATAATAAAAAAATATTTTTATAATTATTTTTAGCAGTAATAATAATAATAATAATAATAATAATAATAAACCCTCTACCTGTCTCAAACAGTCGATCCTTCTCATCCTACCCTGATGGTCGGGCTGGCTTCGAATACAGCCGCCATATTGACCCCCAGATGAAATACACCTAACCAGGTCGGCTCTATCCTCTGACTGTATGTCTCTGTAGTAATATTATTATTGTCGTTGTGGCCATTGTCATTCTTATTAATGTAATTTTTGCCATTCTCATATAATTTTACAATATTAATTTATGAAATTATGAATTTATTATGACAAATTATGAATGAATTATCTACTTTAATATCTTTCCTATCAGTCCCAAGAGCCATTTATCTTGGACACTCTTAGCTTCACTCTTAGTGAGGAAATATAATAATAATCAAAATTAATTACAATTAAAAAATGATGAAATAGGAATATATAACACTATTACAGATATCACTGTTATTTATTTACTTGTAGTTCCAATTTAGATTGTTCTTCGTCGTTTAGTGAAATTTTTTTGTCAAATTTTTTAAAATATTTTCTCTTCTGAGCTTGCAAATTGAACCATGTGTATGCAAAGGTTTTCGTATGCTTTAACAATATCTCCGCTGTTTTTGTATCTATGTTGTTGTAGTTGGACTCCTTGGTGTTTGGGTGAGAGTAGTAAAATGAATTATATTATAAAAATATTCAAAATTATAAATAAGTTATAATTTATATTTAAAATAATTGTAATGTCAAAGAGCTCAAAGACAGTTGCTTTTTTTTTTTAGGATAAAAATTTTGGTTTTTTCTATAAAATGTTAAGAATGAATGAATAAATGATTGAAAGAAAAAATAAAAAAGATCATTATTTAATTTTTAATTAAAATTAATGAATAATTAAAATAAAAATTAATACAAATATGACATTATTTATTTATTATAATATATAAATTTTAAACATAAAAACATAAAAATATTAAAAAAATAAATTGAAAAATTTTGCAGTTACACACCATGGAATGTGGGCAATTTTTGTTACTGGATCGTTTCATTTTGGAGTTTATTTATTTAATTAATTTTTTTTATTTTATTTACTCAATATTTCTTTATTTCTTAACAAAAACAAATTGATCACCTTCCCTAATCAGTTTTTTAATGTTTGTTTTCATGTGGTTAATGTTTAAAAGTAAATTGGTTAAAACTTTAAATGGGCGTGTTTTTAAATTTGTGTCACGCAGATCCATTCATTTCTGGATCAAATTTTGAGTTATGGAGCAATTTTTAATTAATTTAATGATTGATTCACAATTCACAACATTTATTCAACAAAAATTTTATTAGTTTATTTAAAATAGGTTGAAATTTAACACTTTTATAAATATAGTAGCTGATACGTTACAGAGAATAAATATCCTTATTATAAATAATCAAAGTCCAACTGTTTTACATACCTATATACCCACATACATACATAAATACACACACACACATACGTACATGCATTCACATATACAAACATATATACATACACACAAACATACACACATACATACATACATACATGTCTACACACACATATATACCATACATAAACTCTTACATACATAATTCTGTTTAAGATCTTATCGGCATTTGTTTAAAAAATAATTGAGATAAATATATGTGTTTATTTATTTATTTATTATTATATCAACTAAATACCCGTATTTATACAAGGTTGGTTATTTTTAAATGTTATTTGCGAATATTCCATTGCCGTTCAAGGAATACTTAAATAGTATTAAGTTATTAAATTACTTAATTATTTAATTAATTGATTGAAGTGTAACTTTAATTCAATTAACTATAAAACAAATATATAGCACATATGATATAATATGAAACCGTTCACTTTAAAATACTGTGCAATATTTAAAGAGATCTTTACGAGACTTTCATTTCAAACTTGCATGTTCGGTAGAAAGAGTAGCTTCACGCCTCAGATAACGTCTGGGTTCATGATGGAGATGGCAGAGAAGAAAGCGAATATCGATCTATCCGGTATATTCCCACCAATACCGACACCGTTTAAGACCGACGGTGAAGATATAGATTATGAAAAGTTGAAGGAGAATTTTGATAAGTGGAACTCTAAGCCTTTTAAAGGTTCTCATTTGAAATATTTGTTAATTGTCTTTCCATTGATCGTTTACACATAATTAATTACAAAATTAATCGACTTTTTCAGTTAACAAATTAATGGTTAAGTTCAACTCCTGCATTCATTAATTCATTCATTAATTCCTTAATTCATTAATTAATTCATTCATTCATTCATTCATTCATTCATTCATTCATTCATTCATTCATTCATTCATCCATCCAACAAGGGTATGTTGTGATGGGCACGAACGGAGAGAGCGTGTATATGAGCGAATCAGAGAAAATCAGCATGGTGGTTGCCGCCAGGAGACTGGCCAATAAGAACCAACTCATCATTGCCGGAAGTGGATGCGAGTGTAAGATAGATGGATGGATGGTGATGACGTAATAACGAATTTACAATCACGTGACCATGACGCGGTAGAAATTTATTGATAGCGTGATTGACGATGGCCAAGTATGTAACTATTGATGGGAGGATGGTATTATGTGACAATGACTTAGTATTGATGATGGTGATCACACGATGATAATCACGTGATAATCAACAATGATGAAGTCGTAATGACGTCATCATTACAAAAACAGCAACAATGGCTACGATCAATTTGAGCAACGAAATGGCGAAAGCGGGTGCCGACGCACTGCTCATACTAACTCCCTGCTACTTCAAAAGTGGAATGAATACTGAAGCGCTATATCAGCACTACATTAAAGTCGGTTGCGATGTTGTTGTTGATTGCTGTTGATGACGTCATTCTGTTGATGATGATGATGGTGGTGGTGGTGTTGCTCATTTTTTTGTCAAATTTTTACATACTTGTGTATAACCAGCTTTATATACAGTCAAAATTCTCAATATGAAAATTGATAGTTTCAGTACCTGAAAACCTCCAAAAACACAATTCACGAAACGAATTCATACTTGAAATCAAAAAAATGATTTCATCCCCAACTGCTAGGTGGCGGACTCGATAGAAAAACCCTTGATCCTATATAACATGCCTGGGAACACTGGCATCGACATGGATTCGAACCTGGTGACGAGGTTGTCGGAGCATCCAAACATCATCGGATTGAAAGATAGCGGTGGAGATGTAAGTTTAGGCATTATACCGTATTAATACTGCTACTACTGCTATTACTACTACTACACTACTACTATTACTACTACTACTACTACTAATAATAATAATAATAACAACAATAGCTGAGCAAAATGGCGGACATAGTTTATAAAACAAGAGACAGTCAATTTCAGGTTCTAGCCGGTTCAGCGGGGTTTCTCTACCCTGCTCTAGCTCTTGGTTAGGGAACGATGATGGTGATGACGAAGACGATGATGATGATGATGATGATGTGGTTGGTTGTGATTGTGACGGTAAGGGGGATGGTGACACTGTTTTTTGTGATTGTAACAGTGATGAAGGTGATGACGATGAAAATGTTGGATGAAAATGTTGAATGATTATGACGATGACGTCGACGACGATGATGATGATGTCAAAATTTAGGTAGCGTTGGTGGGATTTGCGCCCTGGCGAATGTTTTGGGTGACGAAGTTTGCAGATTGTACGAGTTATTCATTGGCGGTCACATGGATGAAGCTGTAGTACTGCAGCAGAAATTAGTAGAGCCCGGCCAAGCTGTCAGTCATTTCACAGCTGTTATTTTGTGGTCATTTTGTCAAGATTGTTGTTTTGTTCTGATGTTGTTGTTGTTTTTATTTATGTTGTTCATCATGTTCGTTCATATATTTCATCATCGTCAGAAATTGCTGTCACCCTCTCACTCTCATCATCATCATCATCATCATCTTCTTCTTCTTCAAATAATTTTTCAGGTAACCCGTCGTTATAGTGTTCCAGGCTTAAAGCATTCACTGGATTGTAATGGATTTTATGGCGGGCCATGCCGATCACCCCTTCGTTCTTTGAATGGTATCGCCCAAAAAGAGGTGGAACAGGCTTTCATTCAAAATGGATTCGACTTGAAATCGTTGTGATCAGAAAAAATATGCAAATTTAAAAGTGAAAAATTGAAGAGAATTGAAGAGAAGTGAACGATGATGATTTGTTCTGCTTTTGAATGAAAGATCGAACAAAACTCAACAAAAACGAAAGATGTATTAGTAAATAAAAATAATAGTTTCTATTAATGTTGCTGTTGCTATTTTTATTATTGTTGTTGTTAGTGCTAGAAGTAATTTTCAAAGTATAATTCGGCCAAAAAAACTTCATCTATGCAACCACGTTTTTTTATTCTTTGCCGACGTCATAAACTCAAATTTTGTAAACAAAAACTTGACAAACACCAAAAATAAACAACCGATACAGACTCAGTAAAACAAAAAACAATACCATCTTATTAGCATTAAACAACAAATTGCAACATACTAATTCAAATAAAATTGTTCAAATGATAAAAACAATATGAATGAAAAAAAAGTGCATAGGCTGAAAAATAACAACTCAGAGATACGGACCAACATACGAGTGGTGCAGTCGAGCTGTAACGTTACAATTGTCTCCAACAATAAACAAGATTGTGCTGAATTTTTTCAAGAATTTGAGAAAAATTATCACGATAATGAATTATTTCACTTATTTCTGGAAGTGGGGAGTAATTTTTTTGATGAAGATTTCAGTAAAACATATAGAAAGGACGACACTATTGTAGTAGGTAGAATCGATGCTCACAGCAACAGCGAAATTGAAGCATTGTCAGAATTTAACCCGTCTAGAGGCATTAACAAGTGCCATCTGAACTTCGGGAACGATGACGATGATGACCAACCAGAAACTGACCACAATAGCGATGACGTAGATGATGACGTCATCATCGAACACCTACAGCATCATGATAACTGGCTAACAAGGATATTATCGACGACTCGAGTTTATTCGCAGATTCAACTTCATCCAGACTTCATAACTGAAGAATATCAAAAATTATTTCAATCGGATAAAAATTTATACAACAATGTTTTTGAGAAAGGTCTAGTTAAAAGAGCTAGTAAAATTTCCATGGCTGCAAAGAATAAGTCGTCACATAGCCTCAATGATATCGTTTCGTTTCCGAAAATGGATGAAAAAATGTCTGATGCTCTAGGTACAGAAGAAACTGAAAAATTTATAACAACATCATCAAAAGATGTTGGTAGTTTTAACGAAGAACTAACCTATACAGTAAGAAGCGATCCGGTAAGAAGCGATCCGGTAAGAACCGATCCGGTTAGAACCGACCCAGTAAGAACCGACCCAGTAAGAACCGATTCAGTAAGTAATCGTCCCAATTGTAAGTTAACATCCAAAACCAATCAAAATTTGACAGAAAAAGTGAATATAAAAAAATCTACAAATAAAAAACCACCTCCAGCAAAAATCTCAAAGAAACAACAAAAAACAAAAAATCCAACATTACCTACAAAGGCAATAACGAATAGAGGATGTAAAAATAATTTGCAAAAAGTTCGACCAAATTTTAAGCGGAAATCTGGCAACGCGAACCGATCAAACCCATCTTTCGCGACAAAATCATCATCAGCCAATCAGACATCCACCAAACACGACGACGGCGAGACAGGCACTAAAACTAAAACACCAGCAACGACAAATTCATCCAGCAAAACGGATAATTCCAAAAAATACCAGCCAACATCCTCTTCCTCTTCAAGTGATTCTTCAATAACGATTGAAACCAGTGCAAGCGGGATAACATCCTGCAAAGCCGTAACCAACCAACCGGCCTCTGAAGCGACGATGACGACAGATGATCTAACGCACGATTCGAAAGAAACAACACCCCCATCGTCTAACACAAATTTCTGCTTATCTAACGACTTGCCATCAGAATCATCGGGCAATTTGAAAGAGTCGGAGACAACTATGATCCCCTCAAAAAAGTCATTACCAAAGGATAGCATATCAGCGTTGACATCCGAGGCAGACCAGTTCATAGCATCGAGCCTCTACGGAACAATTGCAACGTCCATTTCACTAACGTCCCAAGGCGTTGATGAAAAATTCGCAATTAAAGAAAATACATTTGGCAATAATTTAAATTTTGAGCAGAATTTAAAAAATGATTTTCAGCAAAACAAATCAGATTATGATCACCATCAGCTTTATCTACACCAGAAACAGCAAATTGCGAATGGGAATTTTGAGCAGCCGTTTAAAAATGATGCAAGTATGCATAAGTCGCTAGAACAACAACCACAAGTTAACTACAAAAATGTTAACTCAGAAAAAAATAATCAATATTTAGAAAATATTTTCAATCAGTTGATAGGATCCGAACTTGAATGGAAGCATAATGACGACCGGCCACACATCAGACATCTACAAAATCTAGAAATTTCTCCACCGCCATTGATGGTCAGCAGCAGCAGCAGGAATTTTATCGATAACAAATCACCAACACCTTCACACCCTCACTTTCCTACCTCCTTCTCCGTGTCCCCAGATCCAGCTGACAAAGTTCAAGAGCCATCTATAGAATTGATAAAAAAACAATTTCAAACAATGACGTCATATAGAAATCAGCCAATCGAACGAGATCAGAGTTTAAAGATCGTACGTAGCAATCTATCTCAACAGGATCCAATTAAAAAGTTGAACGTATTCGAGGGAAAAGGATTGGATATATGCGAAGCTGTTACCTCCGGTCGGAAACTTACCAAATCGGATGGAGATCCAGAAAACAGTGATGGCAAGAAATTAAACAGCAGCATCTACGGGTTGAATACGGATTTTTATTTTGACGATGGGAGTAAATTTTCTCCTGATATCATCCAACTTCATAAAAATAACGAGTTTAATGAAAAGATTATACCTGCTAGCATCGGCATAGTGAAGAATGATTGGGACGGCAATGCCGACAACGATGATTTTATCGAGCGTTTCTCAAAAATTCACAGCAACTCAATCAATGAAGATAATTTTTTCAATAAAAAGAATTCACAAATAACGCCAATCCGAGACATAACCGATTGCAATCCAAGAAAACATTCCAACACCTCAGTTAACAGCTTACTAGCAGCTCAAAAATCTTGCTCAACTTCTACCAATTCCAAATTTAATGACTTCGACGACATATTCTCAAAACTTAAACATAAAAATAACTCTATAAACGATAATAACGTCGACAATGCTGATGACTTTTTCGTCAACTACTTTGGTAAAAATCAAGCGGTTAAAATTGAAAATGATATGGACAACCAACAATTTTGTGAAAATAAAGTTTACGGATATACGATTGATAAAATTGAAAAACAAATTTCAACCAGCAATGACCAAAAAATTGACCTGCTGAACGGCGCTGCATTAAAAAAATTAAAAAGCGCATATTCTAAAGCTCTAAATCCATCGCCGTCTTCAAAGACTCGTGCAAAATCACTGATTCCATCTCTCATACACGTACTCCCAACTTGTGGCGTATCATACCCTGACAACGACGTGGTAGCAAAAACAGCCACAGTTGAGACATTGGAAGATGGGAGAGCCCCAAAGAATTCGATAGAAAAAGAGACTTCATCATCGCAAATAGTTCTAGTAAGAAGAAGTCCGGATGCTAAACTGAACGAAATTTCAAAAAAACCACCATTGCCGCTGTCACCAAATAGTTTGGCATCACCGCCTAAAACATTTTCATTCTCGTCTCCTATTGAAAAAGCCACGCAAATGAAGAAACTCAAGCTAACTCTGGCAGAAGACAAAACAATTTCTGAGACGAAAATTTTTACAGAATCAGTTGCAGCCGTCCAAACTAATAAAACATCAGTGTCGTCTTTGGAAACAACGTTGCTATCTTCGGGCGAAAAAAAACCAACTACCTCTCTAAAAGCTGTAGATTTGGATTCCACAACGCTGACAAGTGAAACTATAGAGGTGACTAAGGATGCAAAAATGATTCAACAGAATTATTTAGATGTACCGAACGAACGAAAGCACAATCTTTCAATTCAAAATCATCACCAAATTTCATCGACGAAAGTTTCAAAAAGTAAAGAAAATAATTTTAAACAACAAAATTTTCACCTCCCTAAGCAAGCAAAAAAACAAAACTCGATCGAAAAAATATTGCTCGCAAAGCTGCTAGATCTAGTAAAATCTATGAGTAAGAAATCAATGAAACAGAAAGCCATTCAGAATCAAAATTTAAAACACACCAAATCCAGCCAATCAAATTCAATTTCTAAAAGTCCTTCAACAATAAACGATGTCAAGGATTCAACCTATTCGATAGAAACTAAAATTCCAACTAAAGAACTCGACTCAAAAGTTTCATCATTTTACAAAAATTTTTCACCAAGTAAATCACCATTAATCTCAGACGTCAATACGCCATTATGTGACGTCTCAGAATCGTGCCTAAAGCCATTAACAATAGATTTGACAACTACGAAAATGTCTCAGACAGATGTCTCAGCAGTTACTAAAATGTCGCAACTTTTGTCAATAAATTCTGGACAGTCATCAATAGAAAATTTATCAATAAAGTCTTCCGTACCATCTGTATCTACATCGAGTTCTGTTACTACAATCAAGAGGCCAATAAGAAAATCCACTAATGAGGAACGCTTTGATGAAAATTTTTCAACGACGAACGTTAAAAATGCAGATGCTATTAGCCTGCAAGGAAAGCAAATTTGTGACGATGAAGATGAAATTGTTGGAAATGTTTCAGACACACAAACAAAACAACAACGTCAACAATATCAACAGCAACATCAACACTATCAACAACAACAACAACATCAATGCCATCGTCAACAACAACAACAACGTCAACAACAACATCAATGCCATAGCCAACACAATCTAGCACAACCAACCAAACAACATATACAACAACATCAGCAGCAAGAAATACAGCAAGAAGAAATAAACCAGGAACAAACAAAACAACTCAATCTAATAGAGTATGACATTAATAGAGTAAAAAAATATTTAAATAAATGTCAAGAGTTTCAAGAAAACCATGTAATGTTACCTCAAAATGAATTGCCATATCTACATTTGAAGCCCGAAAATTCTCTCTTTCATTCTCAAACTCTATCACAAGTGACTACTAACTTACTAAATGAAGATTTAGATGAAAAAACTAGTGAAAAAATAGCTGAAAATAGCGTCAATGTATCCAAAACGCCATTAGCCACAAATTCAGAATCAAAATTTGTTACTACAACCTCTGATCAATCGAGTCTCTGGGAGGTAAATGAGGATTTTGGTGGTACCTGTAAGATAGAAATTTCCAATCTTGCTGGAGAAGATAGTAGTCTAGATGTCGCCAAACAGTCTTCGCTGCCATCTCAAAAAATTTCAAGGGTTAATATCATTTTATAATTTATTCTCTGTAATCATGAACTCTGACAGACGTAGAATTCGATTAGACATAGAAAATTTGTGTTTTTCAAGTTTGTTTTAAGTTATTTAATCATTAATACAAACAAACAAACAAAATTTTTTAGAAAAAATCAGAAGACAGCAATGAACGCCTGACTACATCCTCGTCATTAGATAACATCAATTCGGACTCAATATTCTCCAGACAGACTGACGAAATAAAGACAGGGGAAACAATTAATGCTGTGGAGATTGATGAAACTATAATACATCAACAAGATTTGCAGCAGTTACAGCAGCTGCTGCATCCAACAAATGAAGAAGCAAACTTTGATGATTTGTTGCAGATAAATAAGCAGCTAGAGATAAACTTTCAACAATTTCCGCAACAAAATTATACCCATCAACAACAACTACAACAACTACAACTACTACAACAACAACAACTACAGCAACAACAACAACTATTACAACAACAACAACTAGAACATCAACATCTACAACATCAACAACTACAACATCAACAACTACAACATCAACAACTACAACATCAACAACAGTATTCACAGCTTTATAACCAACAACTACAACAGCCCCAACAACAACTACAACAATTAATCGAAATGTTTCAGAAACTTCAAATTCAACAACATTCGCAACAATGTGAGCCAGTCGAAACCGAAATACGTCAAAAAATAATTAATAGTTGTACGTACAATGGCAACCGACTAACTACACCACAACCATCGCTATTACCACAACAACCACAAGAACTATCATTACTACAGCCACAAAAGCAACAAACTACACAACAGCAACAACAATTCTGCATACATCCACAAATTGTAGAGCAACAAAGCCTACTAAAACCTAACGACCAACAACAACAACAACAATTTAACACACAACAAAATGTCCAACGAAACATTACTGACGCTGATTTGTCAACCAACTCCCAACAACTTTTACAACAATCGCTGCTACTACTTCTGCAACAAAAACAAGAAAGACAACTTCCACAACCAGCAACTGACAACATCCAAAATAAATCACTTCAAAGTCACAAACAAGAACAAACAAACAAGCAGCAACAGCAGCAGCAGCAATCACAACAGCCACACACGCAACTACAAAACGACGATGAAGCAAGACGGCTGAGTTATCATACTCAAGAAGGTCCAACATCCAAACGGCAATTTATACCAGAGCAAATGGACCAACAAATTACCAGACAACAACATTTGGATCAGCCAATAAACAGCAACCAACTAAAACAGGATTCGGAGCAGCTAAAACTGACGCAACAACAACAACAGCAACAACAACTGCAACAACAACAACTGCAACCACAACTGCAACAGCAGCAACAACAACAACAGCAGCAACAACAGCAGCAACAACAGCAGCAACAACAGCAGCAACAACAGCAGCAACAACAACATGGTCTCCAGCATGAACAGCAACAACTAAAAAATGATAAATCTTCTGTAGAAATAAAACAAATAAATACCATTCATCAACAACAACCAAATCCGTTAAGGCAGCCTAATGATCTAAAAGATGACACAAAGAATATTGAAGTGGGAGCATTGAGATATCAGGACATAACAGAAAAACTAACACTACCGTCTTTGCAAGAACAACCATTTCATCGTGGAAATTTGCAACAAGAACATTATAATCACAAACCACAACAGCCACAACAGCAGTTACCACATCCGCTACAATTACCACAGCAAAATAATTTATCGCCGTCACAATCAACTCGAAATATACTACCACCATCATCGCCAACGGAATCGTCGACCCTTTTAAAAAAACCACCAAGACCAATTCAACCACCACCGACTCCATCGTCAATGAAGCAACGTCATGAGCCTCAAAACGCACACGTTTCAAATTTCATTCTTTCAGATTTATTGACAGTATCTTCAAAATGTCCCAAAATTTCAAATGCTAATGAACTACTATTAACTTTGAATGATGCTGTTTGGTTTCAGAATCCGTCAAATTTTGTCAAAAAATCTACAGACGTTGGGCAGAAAAAAAAGAAAAAAAATAAACTCCTGACAATATTAATAAGCATATTTAAACGAAAAAGCAAAGCAAATGATGGATTTAAAACATTGCAATCACGCGGTGCAAATTTGGAATTGAAGAAACTTACAGCCTCCAACTTAGAAAGGGGCGAACAGGCGAACAAATCAAAAGAAATTATACCTGAAAGTTTAGATGAAGAAATTATTGACTGTCACAAAAAGCAGCGGCACATCTTTCAAGACGAAGATCCAGAAAGTATTCCAACTTCAACGAAAAAAATGATTTCAAGACACGGGGACTCGAAGCACGCGCGCGGTGAAAAATCATTTTTCAATCGTTTGCGCAAACTTCTCGGGCCCAATGTACAAACTGATCGTCGTAAAGAGAAGCATAGAAAGGCGAAACGAGAACCAAAGCAGAAAAATTTCAAAACTATTTCTGATAATGTTAAAAATGATGTTCCGAACAACCAACTAAATCGAAAGTATGAATTTGTGGATATGAAAGAAAGAAAAAATCGTGAAAAGAGTTTAAAACTAGAGCCATATAGACAAAGTTCAAATCAAAAATTAAACCGGACACAACAACATTTATCTGATAAAACCTCAATACTACAACAACAACAACCTCAACAACAACAACAATTACTACTACCCATTTCTCACGAGACTACAAAAATTTCAAGTACATTTGCCAACATGACACCAACAACTGCTGCAAACTCGTCAGCAACTTCCATCGCAACAACGTCGACGTTTGCAACAACGACAGCAGCGACAACATCCGAACACCGCCAACAACCAGAAACTTTACAAACGCCATCAAAACAGACTTCGAAATGCAAATCAATCCAAATGAACACTGTCTCCACACAGACTATAAACTTTCAAATCGAGTCAGCAGCAGGTTGCAATGCTCTTTTAGCCACAAAATCGTCAACAAAGATCTCAAAAAATGCGAAAAATGCAAATCCAACTGCCAAAACTGCTACTTGCAATTCCGACCTAACCCTTCGTCGCTCCATTCTAAAAGTTGTAAGCCGCGGGAAAAATGGAAAAACATCGCCAAAAAAGATGATGAATAAACTCCTCAAAAAAGAATCAAGTTTGAATAAGAAAACACTAGCAGAGAGATTTCTATCGGAAATTTTCAAATGTAGAAATGAGTGCAAATCAAAAAATATAAATGATATTTACGATCACGTGAGCAGCGACGTCAAACGCCGTGAGAACGGTAAACTTATAAAGAAACGCAGACCTAAAAATATTGACCACAGGCATTGCTACTCTGACAATTTCTCAAAAAATCTTAAAAATTCCAGTAAAAACAAACTGAGAAAATATACTTCTCTTTCATCCATCGTCTTTAAAGTGCTGATGAAAGAATTCGAAACTCGTTTGCTCGCATCCAACAAAGATAATGATGATGATGATGATGAGAGTGATGGTGACGACGACGACGACGACGATGACACTATCGTCAATAGTATAAACTCGAAAGAGAAATTAGGCTCGGTAGACAAGCGGCAACATCAGTTTCTAGATTTTTCCAACGAGCGGCAGTTGCGTAGACTGCATCAGCAGCAACAACGACAGCATCATCAACCACATGACTGCAACCAATTAACGTCATCTCAAAAACAATTTCATTGGTGTGGCGGTTTGCATGACTTGTCAAACATCACTCCTGTAACTAACAACCATCTAAACTTCAGACAGAACTTGATTGATTTTCAACAACGACACCAACAAGAGTTTCTGCAGCAGCAGCTACTCCAACAGCAGCAGCAGCAACAACAACAACAACACATGCTTCAACAGCACTCCCAAGATTTTCAAAAAAATTGTCCAACTCAATTTTTTATTCCACAACAGTCATTTTTTCCCAGTCATCTTCCTTTATACGGATCGAACGAGTCTCCGTGTATAACAAATCAATTTGAATTTTTACAACAGCAGCAACCATTTTTTCCTCAAAATTTTTACAGCCAGCAACACATTTTCAGCTGCCAGCAAGATCACTTCTACCCCGAAACCCTCCAATCAAACAACATGAACGCATCCATTCCCTGTTCAGACACTCTCGAAATTTTGTACCAGAGAAATAATGATGAAGACTCGTTTTTGAAATTTTCTCAAACAGTCGACAAAATGACACAACGGCCTGCATCTGTTATGAATAGCAACGAACGATTGAACAACTCAAACCAGGGATCAACAGGTGAAAAGGTAAAAATACCCAACTTTGTGTCACTCTCTAACTCGATTGATTGTTCACTCCAAAGAAATCCACCTCAAAGTTTACAAACTTTACCAAACTTTTCTAACAACAAAATGAAATCAAAAAACTTACACACCAACAATCTGACTGCTGATAACAAGACAAAAATTTTGACAAAGGCGAGAAAAAACTTCTCACTAAAACTCCTAACCGATGAAGCACTGGTGAACAAAATAAACGTTAAAAAATTATTCACTAAAAGTTTATTGGTCGAGCCGAGAGTTATGAAATATTTCAGCAGCAGCATTCAGAACTACTTGGAACAAAGGCTACAAAGTCGTCTCAGAAAGCATAAAAAATACCTTAACCTCTGCATAAGTTTGCCATTTCTGGCTAGTCTGAATTTAGAAAATGAGAAAAAGTTGCATCAGCAAGTGGAAGAACGCCAAACAAATTGCCTCGCCCAACAACTGAAGACCTCATTGATGGAAAGTAATGAAGTTTCTCAGCCGAATGATTGTGAGAATATTTATGGTCAGTTTCAACCGGATCATATCTTCAACGACCCCCAATTCCAAAATGGTCATCACTATTACCAAACTCGGCAACATCACGGCCTCAATTTTTCTTTCTGCTGATATAAAAAAAACGAAAAAAATCAAAGTTTCAACAACTTGCAACAACAAATCGATAAAAATCAACTTCTACACAACCAATTAAATCAAATGAAAAATATTTTCACAAAATTTTCAGCAGCAAATGCAGCTGCTGCATCCTCTTCACAGCTACAAGAGCAGCTACCACATTCTTCTTACTACAACGACCATTACTACATCTTCTTTACTACAGTCACCACTAAATTTGTTACCACAGCCTGAATTTGTATCGGTGCCATTTAACATTCAAAACATAATTTCGAAATAAAAAATTCACTAAATTATCATTTCGTGAAGAGAAAAAAAATGTACTTCTGTATTTTGTATTTATTTAAAAAGTTTTAACTACGAACTCAATACAATAAACTCTCTCTCTCTCTTTCTCTCTCTTTCTTTCTCTCTATCTCTTTCTCTCTCACACACGCACAAATCAAATCACCTTACGAATTTGTCCATTTAATCAAATCGCACGCTTGCATTCGAACCCGATCATTGCGAAACAGGACTGAACCTCCAAGCCATAAAAATCTCAACAACAATAATAATAAAAACCACTGTAATAATGAGATAATAATCCTATTTCAATATTTTTTAAATTATATTTTAATTTTTTATATTTCAATATTTTAATAATTTGAACTTCTTTGCTAAAAACGGCGTCATTTTAAAAACAAACAAACCTATGATAAATAAATAATATATAATATATATATACATGTACAAATATAAAAATTTGTATAAGTATAGCATATCTATTTAGATACATAGATATACAAAATATCATTCTTATGTAAAAAAAAAAGATATTGCTATCATAAGTAGGACTGAATTAATAAGAACTATCATTAAACAAGGCTATGGAAAAAATAAACTATATCACCGAAGACGATGATAAAGATCATAGAACAGATGATGATGATAACAATATTGGTGATGATGAAGATGCTGATGATGATGACGATGCTGATGATGATGGTGATGGTAACGATGCTGATGATGATGGCGACAGAGATACTTTAAACTTTAATAACAGTGATGTAGTTGATTATAACCAAACAGACCTGGAGTACACTAATTATGAAAACAATAAAAACTTTTATCACTCAACGATTAAAAATAAAGATACAATTTGCGACCAAAGCAGGACGAATGACTCGGTGAACGATGACAAAATTGAACTAGATAATGGTGACAACGTATCAAATGAAGGCTCTTTCGATAACCACAACAACACTGATATACCTGAAACTGAAATGTTTCATCCTCATACAAACAATCAGGCGAAAAATCCTGATTTAATGATTCCACCATCGATAAGTGTTTCCCAATCGCCTTCAAAAAATTTATCTCAACCCACGACAAAAAATTTCATTCCTTCGATAATTCACCTACTTCCATCTTTTCCAATAGCAACAACAACAACAACAACGAAGCCTAGATCGATTTTCCTTGCTACAAAAAACAATACAACAGCATCAACAACAATACAAACATTCTCTCAAACGTTAACTAAGCCATTGTATTTTTCAAAAACTTCAAAAAACCCAACTACAACACCGCCAAAAACAAATCCACCGGCTACAAAATCGCCGTCCCATGCGCCGGTCGCCACCAAACGTACCACACAGACTACAAATTCACCAGGAAAAACTACTGCGACGATAAATTTTTCCAATTTGGTAACTACGGCTGCTATAGAAAATTGTAAATCACCTGAAAATAATTCACCCCCGACGAACGACCAAACAACTCAAACGAGTAAAAAGTCACCAGCCAGCCAGTCCCCCATCGTTCAATTATTAACCCGTGGACTACACACTTATAAATTATTACACCTGCCAGGGAAAATCCCAAAAGATTATAACGACGACGACGACGATGATGACGATGTTGATAATGATGATGACGATGTTGATAATGATGATGACGATATTGATAGTGATGATGATGATGAGCCTAACAGTGATTTAAATGATCATGATTGTATAGCAGATAATAATATAAAAGATGTTGGCATGGATAGCGATGAAATTGAAAGTAAAAATTTCGAAAATGAAACCCAAATCGCTGATGACGACCGGGTAATAATCGAAACTGCCCCAGATGACATAAATTTTCACAGCGAATCAATCACTACCAATTTATTAACGACACCAATCTCATCCATTCCAGGCCCGCTACGATCACAACAACCACCCTTCTATCCAACTCCTAATTTCTTACTGCAAATGATGCTAACAGGAGCGCTGAACTCTCTCTCCGTTGGATCAACTTTATCAGAGGAAAATTTATTTGAAACATCGTCAACCACATCTACCCAATCACAGACTATTAGTGACGAGAATTCATTTTCTCCATTGGCTCAAAAACATTCAGCAACAAAAGAAACAGAGCTAACAAAATCAAAAAGTAAATCAACGAAATCATTTTCAGATATACAACTTCTAGAAACCGCAACGTCAGATGTAGTAGTGAATGTACCCAGTTTTGAATTCAATGCACACCTATTAGCAAATAACAATAGCAGAGTTGTCAAAGCAACATCAACTCCGATACTCTATCTAACATCAAGGATTATGCCTCCAACGACAAATACTAATACTACTGCAACATCAATAACAACAGAACAAAAATCTAATTCGCCTTTAGAAGAAACAACCAATACTACTACTTCTACTGCTACCACTACAACTGACGCTACTACTACTACTGCTGCTGCTGCTGCTGCTGCTGCTACTGCTACTGCTACTATAACAGCAAAAAAACACGATGATGATGACAATGATAAAGATGCCAAAGACGATTATGATGATGGAGGATTAGATAACAAAACTATAAATAAACCGCAAAAAATCTTCCTCTGCTCATTTGATAATCGTGCCTTGAATTGCATCAGCCAATCCTGTAATAAGATCCACACGTCACCTTTCCTTATCAACAACTTCTTTATAAACGATATATACACCGGCTTCATTAAAAGCATAATTATCAACAAAGTCAATAAAAGTATCTACAAAGGATGTCATGATTGCAAATACGAGATTGATAACTTTGACAGAGTGTATAACCTAAGAGATGATGTCAACCGTCAGAGCGGACAATGCAAACTCGATTTGTGCAAATGTGGTTTTAATAAAGATTGCAGACTTAATGATATCTTGTCTACAAATCAAAGTAATCTGCCAACTTTAATCAACACGGATCTTAAAAATTATATTTCTGACTTTTTAGATATAGATGATACACCAGCAAATGATAGCACTCTATTGCTGAATAATACACTAACTACGGCTAACAAAACCTTAGATACTATCCAGATCAATGCAGCTGAATTAAACGATTCAAATGCCAATATTCGTAATTTCAAACCAACTAATTGTAATGTGAATGAAAATAAAAAAATCAATATTGACAATGATGACAAAGTGAATCTCGAGAATAAAACACCTACTAAAAATGTTGACGGTAATGAAATAGCCAGAAAAACGTTTTCTCTAACTGGCACAGCCGAAAAAATGTCACCACCGACAAATCCTCACCAGACCATCATTCCACCTCTCATCTACCTAATTTCAGCAACAAAAACAACAACACCGAAACCTAAAACGCTTTTACAAGCGCCTCTTTTAAGTAAAATTGTGCCAAATTCTAGACAAACAACTTCAACAAAAACGCATCCACTAGGTAAGAAAGCTTCTAATAGAGTTTCCACATCCGGTTTTTCACGCCGAGAACCAATTTTCAAATTATTGGCAAAATCTTATATACCATCTCAACCCCATAAAAAGGTTGACGAAAGAAAAAACTTAAATACGATAAAAAATTCACTTACAAAAACAGAGTCCCCGTTGGCTAAGCCAAAGTTTTCTAAATTTGACAAAAACAACCGACAAGACTGGCAAGAAACTGCGAAAGCAATTTCAGAATTGTCGTCATCATACACAGATTCTCCTACAAACTTAACTGCTAATGCAGAGGCAAAACATTTTCATGAAATAAAAAGCGATCAAACGAAATCTTTAAAAAAATTTAGAATCTCTCAACAAAAATCAACTGAATCAACTCCTTCATGTTCAGAAACTGCAAATTTGTGCACAGAAGTTATGAAAAATTTCCTCGATAATCATCATAGCACTAGGGTTAGGCCTCTTTGTTATAACAAACCACATTACAACGAAGTGCTTGATTATTTGAAAAAATTGTCGTCACGAAACAAATTAATAACAAACTCTTCAGCAGAAAAACTGAAATCAATTCTATCGAGAGAGTTTTTTAGTTTTAATTTGAAAAAAAATTCAACAGCGGACATCTCAGAATCAGAAACAAGAATATCTTTGTCGTTATCGTCGTCATCCTTCTTATTAAAAACAACGTCAACGACAATTCAAACTGAATCATCACTGAGTAGAAAGCACAACTCAGCAACATCATCAGCTACATCAGTAGCTACATCAGTAGCTACATCATTAGTACCGTCAAAATTAAGTCGAACTACACCCCATCTTAGCCAACAACAAAAACAAAACTCACCCGAATATGTTATTGGCAATGAAAAAAAATATTTTGACGAGCAGCAAGAGAAATATTCCGATCTACACTTCAACCTTTTCCAAAAGATGCAAAACTCGGAGCAACAGTCTGCGCGCCTGCTTTTTCAATCTAAACACACACCTACAAATTACATGATTCGAGAAAATGTTGACATCAGCAAACTAGCGCGACCACAAAATTTTTATTTGCAACAAGATTTTAGGAAATCACAAAAAATGATGTCTGAGAAAGAACGAAAATTGAATTCGCCGAAAAATTTCAAGCCACAATTTAATAAAATTCAATCAGATTTCTTTCAAGATGGTGAAAAAATCTCCACCCATTCAAAACAACAAACTCCAGAAAACTATCAACTAAAACCACTGAAACGCTATCGAAGGCGTGTAAAATATCGACAACGACATATGAAAGTGCATAAGAAAATTTTTAAGATTCAAAATAAGAAGATTCAAAAATGTTTTCAGCTGTCGAAATCAATGAGTCAATCACATTTCCAGCATTGCAACCAACATTTACAGCAAAAACATCTGGTCCAACAACTGCAGCATCTGCAACATAATCTTGAAGAACAAGCTAATCGTGAACAAGAACAATTTTTTCTGCAACCAAAGCAACGAACTCAAGAAGAGAAACGCGAAAATTTTTTATCAGAAAGCGACGAACCACATGCTACGCAACAAAACATCGACGATCAACAGTCTCATAATCGGCAGAAAATTTTGCAAAATAAAATTTCCATCAACCCATTCAACCATTTTTTAGATTCTTCAAAACATTCACAAACATTCGCCTCAAATTCAGAAGAAAAACAACAAATGAAACCTCAATCGCAAAGTCAAAAACATAAACGCCAGCATAAAGAAAATGACAATCAAAAATTTCAAAGCCAAGAAAGCATTCGACAGGACTTATTCCCTTCAACAGTCATTAGTTCACAAGAAATATTCGAGGTAGTTTCTCAAAAATCGGACCAAAACTCAGCAACCGAATGGACCGATTCAATGGCCGATCTTTCTTCACCATCCACCAGTGATAACACCATCATCCAAAAGGGATTGAACATCGGCGATGAATCCAACGAAAATACAAACATTTCTGAACTGTCGAATATTTCGCCGCCCACAGATGCAAAAGTTTCCAATCATCTAAACAAGCAATACGACAGTTTCAGAAGGAACATCCTAGAAAAAAGCCAAACTAAAAACTCATCGTTGAATAAAAAAAAACAACAGAATGAGAAACAAGAAGAACAAATTGAAAAAGAGTCACAAAAACATCAACTTGACTTACAATCAAAGACGCAACAAACACAACAAAGCCAAGGCAACTTTGTTTCAAAGGTGAACGACAGAGAACAACTTCAGAACGAGGTGAGACATAATGCGAAAAAGCAGCAACAACCAACGCCTCAACAATTATTGAAACAACAACAAAATTCCACTGAACCGCAACAACACATGAGGCCGATAGACCAACTAGGCGATCGGCAACAACATTCCATCAAACGAGAACAACGTAGCGTGAGACAAACATCAACCAAACCTCCGAGACCAACTAGACCACCAAATTTGACGAGACCGCATCAACAACAGCAACCAGGTTCTAACATAGAAACTGCGAAACTGTCTACGGATTTTTCAAAAATTTCAGAAAATTCCTTCCAACAATCTCAAAATATTCAACAGCCATATTTCACGCTGAACCAGCATCCAGATAATGTCTCTAAGAAGAACAAAAAAAATTTCTTCAAAGCATTCGTGAATTTAATCAAAAAACCGAGCAAAAAATTAAAATTGAAACAAGTTTCTTTTAATGAGAGTTTGAAATCCAATTTGTCAACTGACGAGATCAAACCCAGCAACCAAGAACGAATAATTTGTGAAGCTGATGTGAATCAACAAAAGCAGACAAGCTCAGGAAAGAAAGATTGCACGATTAAAACAGACGTCAAATCTGAGAAGACATTCATAGGCCGAATCCTCTCCTTACTGGTTCGCAACATTCAGAAAAATAAACGTGAGGTTAGGTTTAATAATCAAGAACTTCAACAACCACTATCACAGCGGAGGAACAACGAAATACCAAATCTTCAAGTTTTTGAATCAAATTTGACAAAAAATTTTAAACCAACCAGGCCGTATGATAGACCAGCTCATACAAAGCCACCAGAATTAGCAGCAGCAGTCTCAACACCAACAACAGCAGCAGTAGTAGTAATAACATCAGCAGAAGCAGCAGGAACGACATCAATTAAAGCAGTAACAACAAAACCGGTTTCAAAAGCTGAACTAATCCAATCCACCTTCGAAAGATCTTTTTTTAAAAATAGGAATTCGTTACAGAAATTGATCGTACACGATATATCGCCGACAAATTTTGAATTTTTGACAACAGCCAGCTTGACGCCGAGATCAACCATCATTAACAGCTGCTCTAGGCTAAGTTCGTTTGATTCCATTTTCAATACAAACGATTACAGAAAAAATGATTTAAAGAGAAACAGGGTAAGATGTTTAAAACTTAAAGGAAACCTGATAGGAGATAAAGACGGTGATGCAAAATTTAAAACATTTCATGTTAGTAATAAAGTTTCGCTCACAAGCCAGTACGATTCAAACGCTATAGGGGTCCAAAATCATCACTGTAGAACTAAGCATCACGTCCAAGATGAGGCAGTATGCTCTCCTGGTAAGAATTTATGTAAAAAAGGAAAACCTGAAAATGCAATACAACTGACGATCTCGTCTGCTACGTTCAAAATGTTGAAAAGTGAATACAAAACGCGTTTGTATATAAACGACGGCAAGAAAGATAAAAAGACGAGTGATGAAAAAGTGATTGACGCCGATCGTGATGGAGAAGAGGCTGATGAGAGAGAGGATGTTGACGCGAAGATAATCGTCGAGGTAGGAGACGTTGAAGAGAAAGTGGAGAGAGTGACGAACATGAATTGCTACTCGCGAAATAACTTGAAAAACATCTACAAACGCAGACAGTTTCAGCAAAACGAGCATCATAATCTTCCACAAGACAACCATCACCAATTCAAATTCTTTCCACAGCAGTTTCATTGGAGTGTGGGTCTGCCGCCGCGAGATAGCGCTATGAATCAAGTTGTAGCCAACGACCAGCAGATCTTCATCCCAAAACCAGTTACCAATATCCAGCAACAGTTTTTCCAACAACAACAACAACAACAACTTCAACAACAAGTTCTGCAACAGCAATTCATCATGCAACAGCAGAGAGAGACAGTGCAGCAATGTTTTCCCGCATTTCCACCTGACTGCCAAGCCCCTTGCTGCATACCTCCTCTACAAAACCAACAACGACCACCGTATTTTCCCATTTATAATGATTTCGTCCGCGAAATAAACGATCAGTACGATTATTTGCATTACCAGCAACATCAGCAACGCCACTATCATTACCCCCGTCTCGAGCAACAACATCATCCTCTGCATTATCTTCCCCAGCAGAACTTCTACAACCAACACCAACAGCAATCTCATCACGAAAGCCATTCTCGCAATTCGTGTCCCAGCTTGTTTCATTCTAGTGTGGCTAGCCTACCCACCCAGTACAAAGGCTCAATAGAAATCATTTATGACAAAAAGGAGAATAATAGTTGCATCCGAACTCAAAATTTCACTAAAACAGCTGACGAAAATGCTATGAACTCGGAGAAAAATTCATAAGATATTGAAAAAGAGTCGTAGTTGTGACTAGTGAAAGATTTTTGCAAAAAAATCCGAAGAATTGATAAAAATATCTAATACAAACTCGTATTTTCAGTATTACTCGTATTTACCATGGGTTCACGAATTAAGTATAAAAAACGACCGATTAAAGCTATACAACCATCTAAGTAGTGATTTCTCAATTGAAATGGCAGTCAAAATTTTTGTTCAAGATGAAAAAAAATTTATTACTTCAATTTACGGCATCTGTCTTTAACATTTTCCATTCTATTTCTAATGTTATTTTGTAAAAATTGAAAAAATTGAGCAAGTTTTCCACATTATTTTAGAAAAATATATTCACATTTTCAAAAAAATAACCTAATAATAAACTCGCGACACATTCGAAACGGTTTACAATAAGGTGATTGACAAGCTGTGAATCGAGTAGAAAAAAACTAATACTGCTAAGCAACTAACAAGCAGTAAGTAGCTACATTGATAAAAACACTTCTAAGTAGGCTACCAAATAGCAACAGTATCAATTTCGTAAAAAAATAATATCATTATATGACACGGTAATTTTAAATGGGTCTGTTTTTGATGTTTCTTTATTGAACGAACCAAAATGAATAAACATGACAAATTTCTTTCCAATTTAAATGATTTAATTAACAACAATTAACTCTCTAATTTATTATAACAACCCATCATCATCAGCTGTTTGTCGTCAGTTGTTCAAGATACGAAAATAATCTTCCATCATAGTCAAAAGCAGCCGGAATATAAATTATTAACAATCATCACTCACATAATCATAACACTCATTCATTCATTCATTCATTCATTCATTCATTCATTCATTCATTCATTCATTCATTCTAAATCTTTGAACTGGTCAACCTTCCTCGCCATCATCTCTTCCTTCAGTAGCAACCAAGACGGCTTGTACTTCTTATTTCTATGGACCAGTGGATATTTGAATGCTTGGCTACGAGGTTCAAAAGCAGACTGAGTCAGAGATAACTTCCTCCTTAGTACCTCCTCGTTTATGTCTTTTTTATCTCTGTATCTATCCAGGTATCTGTCGTAATATCATGATACCAGTGTGGCGATGAAGGCGATTGTGATGGTTGAGATGGTTGTAAGGATAACGAGATAGTATCATTATGATTATGATGATGATTAAGATAGTTTTAATGACAATGCATAGTATCATTATGATATCGTTATGATTGTGATGGTGATGATGGTTGTAAAGATAATGAGATAGTATCATTACTGACTATGACGGCTACCTAGCGATGATAACTTTGATAATGAGGATAAAATTATTACATAGCAGAAAACTAAAAAATAAAAAAATATATAACCATTTAAAATTATTACAAATAAAAAGAAACATTGAAACGAACACAAACAGGACAGTGAAATTAGATAGATGTTTCAAATTTGCGTTTAAAACACTAACACATTGAAAGGTTCATTGTGGGGGTACTTTTTGGCCGGGGGATGGTAGGCAGTGGGGTGATTGTATTCATAAACAGGCTCACCCATGTCTAAATTATGACATTAATTATAATAATAATTTTGAATAATTTTTAAAAAAACCCGACCTAGATTTTCTCGATAATATTTCCTGACACTTTCGTCCCACTGACTTTGAAAGAATGCCAAAGAATGTGGAATCAGATTTTTTTCATGAGTCTTGAAAAATTTTGATGTGCTAAACTGTCTTTGCTCTAATCTAAATAATGAATGAAACGAACCAAATAAACGAATAGTTAGGACTTCAAAGAAATGAAACAGCATAGATAAATCAAAGTTATAGATCCTAAAATTAAAAAATGGAAAACCTATAACAATAGCCAAAAGAAGAAACCGAATAAAACAAACAAAAAGAGCAAGACAGAGAAAAAAAAACCTTCTCACCTCTTGGCACCATCGTCACTTGAAACTCTATTCACAGATTTAAAATCGTCCACATTATTTTGTTTAAACAGTATAAACACATTCCTATGGTAACCAGTACCCATTGGTGTAATTGGAGGCATATACTTTACAAGGGTTTGACCTTTTGAGAGGTCATTGCCAGGAATGTTCACCCTGTAAAATTCAAATTTCTCAGAATATGTACAATCTAGGTGTAATTAGTAATTGTGAGATAGGTTATGGAATTAATATAATGTTATATATTGATTTATTTATAATATATTTATACAAAAATTAATGATTGATACAGACACAAGCCAATGAATGTATTCTTGATTTTGATTGGTCAGATTTTCATCAGGATTTGTCATAAGCACCGCCCACAACTCATCTGGTCGGCTGCTGAAAGTGACCTGTGGTTCCTTGTTAGCCTATTGGGTTTATTTTGAAATAGAATAAAATTTATTTTGATAAATAATCAGTAAATTAATGAAAAACAAGAATGAAAAAAAGGACAAAAAAGTAAAATTTAAATTTTTTTTAATAAAAATCATTATTAAAAAAAATTTAAATAAACCAAAAAAAACCTCATTTGGTAGAACAAAATTTCCCCAGTAAACAGGTGTTACATATTCATCATCATAATCATAATGAACTTTTAGTTCTTTGGTGGGGTAGAAATAATTACCATCAAATAAATCTTTATAAATATTGTAATGGTCAGCTATTGTTCTGATATGCTGTGGGCCAAGTTCCTCTAGCCAATCACATTTAACCTCTTTTAATGGCACTTGTACTAAATGTATTAGGGAAGATTAATTTTTGAGTTGATTTTATTTGAAAGTTTGAAACAGTATAAAAGTAATAAATTAGTAATAATTAATAAAAAACATTAAATAATAACTGACATGTTTTTAGTCTAGATTGTTTCTCTAATTCTTTATTTTTTCTATTTTTTAGAGCTGTTTGTAGAATTAGTTCTTTGTTAGCAGTCTTGTTAATAAAGCATTCATCATTGGCCCCAATGTTCTTAACAACGGGATCTATAACTGCAGTTGTTTGGTCTCTATCATTTTTCAAGTCCAACTCTGCCATTTCAATTTCAATTAAACAATTTAAATAAATTACGTTAAGTTACTAACTTCTGTAGGTAGCACGATCAAAATGCTTTTAATTAATTTAATAAATAACATATAAAATTAAATGTAAAAACGAACTTTGCATTCTTTCTTCAAAAGAATCAGCATGCTCTGGAAAGTCAAATTTGCCTGATTTGATTAGGATACTTTTGCCGCCTAGCCATTCCGGGGGTTGAATTGTGTAAAATCGTAGTGAAGTTTTATAAATGAATTCACGAAGGCGGATGCATTTGTGTAAGTTTTTAAAGTTGCATGTTAAGCGGGCCGACATTTTGTTTGTTTAGTTTTCAAAACTGAATTTCGGTTACAAACATTGACAAAGCTTGAAAATAATTAAGAGAATTACATCCAACTTATTGATAAAAGGTAATTACAAGATAATAATAAAACACCATTAAAGTAATAACATTGTCATATATGAAAAATTGTTTTTTCTATTAAAAAACGACATTTAAATGACCTTTTTCTGCACTTTAAATGAAAGAAAAATTTAGCCTGTTGAGTAGATTAATCTTTGGCTACGTTACATATAAAACGGATATCCGTTGTTAAAAGTTTAATGGTCCTTCGTAGATTATCGCTGCGTAGTTCAAACAAATTTTCTTTTCTTATTTCGCCACTAATTTCCGAAAACAGGCAAGATGTTGTTAAGTGCCGTCAAAGCCATCACCAAAACGGAAAATTTTGGTCCGAAGTCGAGTAGTAGTAGTGCCTCGTCCAGGTTAGCCTTTTTTCTTTTTTGTTCTTATGTGGCTTCTTGTTTTAATTTAATTTAAAATTTTAAATATTTTTACTTTCACATTATTTCTCAACTGAAATTTTAAGTTGATGTTTTTGGAAATTAGTCCCTCATTCATAATTGTTTAAATTAAAACTTCTGAACTGAAAATTTTTGCACATAACAGCGCAGGGATGAGGCACTTGTCCATACAACTGCGCACCGGGCCTCGGCATTGGTCCTGATGTGACCCACGCCGTACACAATCAATTGTCTCATAAGCAGGCAGAGGGCAACGGTGTGGGGGATCTTAAAGAGCCCCCTGTCAAGGGAAGAGTGAGCAAGAACAGTGAAAGCAGTGAAGATGAGGAGATTTTGATGGATTTGGCTAGGGAAGAGTCAACAAGGAAAGGAATAACTGGCAACTTTTCTGATGTTCTCGAGGGTATGATGGCCAAGAATGAGTTTGTTCAGATGTCAAACCCAGTGTACATCACATTCAATGTTGAGATCAAAAGAGATATGGTGTTCAACTGGAGAGCCATGTACCTGGGGCACAAGTTGTTTGTTGAAATTCCCAAGTCTACACTGCCAAGCTGTTCTAAGGAAAGGTTTGTTTCATAATTCTCCCGACCATTCAAGTTATTCTCGAATACCCTTGTTGGTCGCTAATTTAACTTTAAATTATACCTCTTAGCTTCATAATGTTGTTGGAGTATGCTGAAGATGTCTTAAGGTGCAGTCATGTAATTATTTGCTTCAAGAAGGACAGGCCAGATAGAGGTTCAACAATTCTTTCTTAATATTTTCATATTATTGTCTTCCAACATTTTCTTATCAAATAATCGAAACAGGAATATAAATGCTTTTATTTTCAAAAATTTTTAAAAATTGTCACACCCCACAGAGAATCTGGTGAAGATCTTCATGTTCCTGGGCTTCCATCTGGTTCCTCCAGGGCATGTTCTGGCTCCTTCGTCGTCAGGCAACATAATGTACCTGGCCTATGCTGTCGATGACGACAGTGATGATGGAGAGTTTTGAATGTTTCAGCGTACTACTCGAGTTGTGGATTCTTTGATTAAGGGTTGTTTTGAATTGGAATTATAGTGTGGTTGGTTTGGTTGCCTTCTGCTGTACTTCTGTGAGACAACGTGACATTTTGTTAAATTTGTTTTTATTCATAAATTTGTAGAATTATTAATTTGAATGGCTGGTGATTGTTATCAAAATTTAATTACATATACAAAACTTTTTTGTTTTATTGCATTTTAACATGCACATTTCTTGTTTTTTTTTATTATGCTTACCAAATAGTTGGAAGAGAATAGCGATGTGATTGTGTACGGATGTTTTTTAAAAATATTTGCCGAGAGAGAAATTGGAAGATGAGAAAGAGAGAGAAAGAGAGAGAGATGTTAGATTTGTTATGATGTATTAATTTCACCATTTAAAGAGATCATCACGATAAATCTTGAATGTACATATGCTTTATCTACAAATAATCTGCTTGTGTTGTGATGAAGACGATATTTATTCTGATAACTGATAAAAAAGAATAAGCCTTCTACCTACATTGTTAGTAAACTTATTGGCTGCACAATCCTTTTTACTAGCTAACTATGTATGTGTGTATGGATGGAGATTTTTGAGTAATTTTAGATTGACAATATGAGTGATTAGATAGCTCTGCTTATTTGTGTACAGTTCAGGTAACAGTACTATTTATGATCATATCAATTAATGATGGTGGGATTTTTCTGGAGGGTCATTATATTTAATTAGATTGCTTGTGGTGAACTGTAGAATACATGCATCGTTTGTTTAATGAAGTATATTGCATGTTTTCTTCATTTGTGTGTGTGTGTGTTAAAAGTAGGTGACACTCGGAGTTGAGTGATAGTAGCACACGGTAGTCAATATTTTTGCACTTATTTTTATTTGTCCTTATATTATCATAATATTACTACTATTATTTCTGTTTATTCTTTGATTCAGCATATTATCAGCAACAACAGCAAAAAGATCATTAATATTATCATTGTTTTGTTTCTATTAATTTGGTGAGCATAATTCTTGATGGTAATCTTTCTTTTGAAGGTGCAAATTTGTGGTTGGCATGTGATTGCACGTGTGCATGCGTGTGTGTGTGTGTGTACGTGTTTGATTGTTTTTTGGGTTTGTAAGTAATTTGGTTGTTTGTCGGGTGGTGGAATTTTGTGATGTGAGCTTATTGAGACACATTGATGAACAGATAATACAAAAAAAATTACCAAAAAAAAACATTTAAAAAAATTAATGACAAAAAATTTACATTGTATTCCATATGTCTGTAGTGTTTACGTTGGAGTATTTTGTTTATTCACTGGTTTTATTTCTCCTTTCAGTTTTCTGCTAGTAATCCTACCTTTTCATTCATTCATACGTATGAAATATACCTTCATATATATGAATGAATGAAATATACATATACATTCTTATATATGAATATATATATATATATATATATATACGTATGTAAACAGGCTAATATATATATATATATAGTGTGTGTGTTTGTGACTGCTTAAATTTTCAAATTCCCAAAGTCTTACTACTTATATGGTATTTGTAAGTTTGCTGGTACGTCATGTCAGGCCATATTCATACATACACGTGTAATGGTTAAATTCTGGTCTTGTTATTTTCAATATAGACATATGCAATGTAGGCGTACATACATACACATGTGTACGTACATTCGGTTGAAATTTTGTTAGATATGCATCCAGATCATAATAGTAGTCAATAGTTATTTGGATATTGACATATATGTATTATATATAATTTATATTCAAGTATAAATATGATTGCCTAATGTGTATTTAAATATTAGTAGTGACGATATATGTATATTAGTAAAGTGATGGTGTTTTAAAGGTTTTACATGTCATGGTGACTTTTAAAGATTATCAATTATCATAAATTTAACTATTTTGGTTTTAACTGATTTGAAATTGTCACTCATTCATTTATTTATTCATTGGTTATTCGTTCATTCAATGGTTGTTCATTCATTCAATGGTTATTCATTCATTCAATGGTTATTCATTTTTAGTTGAGCCTAATCCTATTTCAAATTTGTTACAGGACAATTCAAAATGTTTTTCTTTTCAGTTGTCATAAATAAAAATAGCAAAACGTTTTTACAGGCTCTGATGGTATTTAGATGTAACGATAGGTTACTATAATTTCAATAACGAGGTGCCGGACTAACAACCATTTAACACAAATTTATTTCAAAGATAAATTTTGCTTATTTCAACGACAGCGTTAAAAAACAATTTGTGATGAAATGTCGCTCCCAAAGATAACTGTTCTTCTCTTCAAATTTCTCTCAAGACCACATCCAATTTCACCATTTTGTTAGCTCTATAACAGAAATAATCCCTTATGTTTTCGAGATAGTTGGTCCTGGAATTGTGACTACTATCCCCATTAAGCATGAGATGTAGAATTGATTTGATGGTAGCTTTTTGATTCTTTTGCCTCTTCATCCATTCGTGAAAAGTTAGACCGGTTTTGAAGTACAAGACCTACAATGTAGAAGTCAGTTTACTGTCGTTTTTCATCACATACGGCAACAACCAAAGGCGTGTCGAGGTTTGAAAACATTCAATGTTATAGTTTTTTTTTCTCATCGTATGTTCATCAATTAATCAATCGATTTGCATAGTAACGTACCATATATGTAATACTAAGTACTATGTATACTATGTAGATAATAATCAAATAATAATAAATAAACAATAATAATAATAAACTACTAACAATGCATATCAAGATGACAAAAGATAACACGAGGAAGCCACAAGCAGCGAAGGAAGCGAAGACGATGACGGCGTTTGACCTGTTCGTCAAGGTCAGGTAACTGCAGAAGTACAACGTCATGCATGACATCAGTGCCATGCTGACGTTTAGAATGAAGAACCACACTCTGTTTGGTTAGTCGGTTGGTTGGATGGATGGTTGGTTGGTTGGATGGCTGGTTGGTTGGTTGGATGGTTGGTTGGATGAATGTTTGGTTGGATGGTTGGATGGCTGGTTGGTTGGTTGGATGGCTGGTTGGTTGGTTGGATGGTTGGTTGGTTGGATGGATGGTTGGCTGGTTGGTAAGTTAGTTATAGGAATGGCAAAATATTGAAAACATATGGGCAGGCATTTGTAATGAACCTATTTTTAAGGCCGATGCAGTTGTTAACGTAGTAGCAGTGATGATCGAAAACGGACACACATCTGTGTTAGGTTTGTTTTGTTCTGATGGAGTCTAATTGTCCAAACATACTCCTATACACAGAGTAAGAGAGTAGACAAACACACACACACTACACACACACACACACACATACAAACAAACCTTCTACATTTAAAACAATGCTTAGATCTAGCATGCCTAGCTAGCTTGCACACATGACAGAGTTGGGAGAATGTTAAAATCGTCTCTCTTATACCGGCCAGCATCGTCAGATGACTACCGTATGACTTTTCAACGTCTTCTTTGTAACTTTTTACCTAAATAAATAAAAAACATATCGAAGTTTGTATTTTTATTTTACGTTTACACCGCACACACAAAGACACACACACACGCACACACACACAACACATTACACGTGAGTTGTGGGCTGAATTTGTATTCAAACGCTGCCCTAACCATCATATTTACTAACTTACACACATACACTTGTCATACATTCGACAATAAAAAAAAAATAATGAACTTTTTGAATGACGGATTCGTAGAGAGAGGGATTTCGAAGATCCACATCAATGTAGCCCGGATCGCATCTGTTCGTCTGGCTCAGAGATACCCAGAAAGTAAGATTAAGCATGAAGAAGCACACGTGTACGTGAGCTATTTCTCGCCAAGTCTGCTGAAAACACTGAAAGAGAACAAAGTTGAAAATGATATTTTATTTACGTTTTAGTTTTTTGTCTGTTTTTAACTCTCCAGAAAACAATAAAAATTGATGCGAAAATTAAAGCCATCCACACCACACACACACGCACGCACACGTACAAACATACAAACGAGAATGTAATATAGAGGGTATGCAAAAATTGCTATGTATCCCGTCGTCAAGAGCGGCTTATTGAATTGAATGAGGAGCCAAACTGGGAGAAACCTGGAAAAAAATTTATGACAATGGTTCTTGTAATCAGATCTAATTTTATTTATTATGGATTGTTTATAATAATAAAAATAATAATAACAAATAATAATAACAAATAACAATAATAATAATAAATAATCTAATAATAATAATAACAACAATAAAAACAATAACAACGTGAAATTACGTTAAATTTTTTATTAAAGTTGGTCGTCGCGTTTCTCTTTGACAGCCATATTCATGATCAAAATTATTATTATTATTAACATAATTATTCTTGTTATTATTATTATTATTATGCATAATTTTAGAGAGGAAAGACGAGCATCTAAAATTTCTTTGCCTCCTAGCCAATGAGAGAGCAGTATTCCCACTTACATCTTCATCTTCTACACCCACTCCATCCTGAATAAAAATAATAATAAATAATAATAACAAATAATAATAATAATAAATAACCTAACTAACCACCACACATAACTCTCTGACAATATTAAGTGCCCCGTTCAGGCAAGCGTGGTGCAGAGGTCTTCTCATATCTAGGTCAGGTTGATTCGGTTCGAGGCCAAAGATAATTAATAATCTTGCCGTTGTGTAGTGACCTAGTTTAATTAATTATTGGTATTTATGATTAGAATGGATGAATAAATGAATGAATGAATGGATGAGTGGATGAATGAATGAATGAACGAATGAATGAATGAATGAATGGATAGATGAGTGGATGGATGAATGAATGATGTTGAAAGTAATGAAGGTAATTTTATTTATTACAAATTGTTTAAAGTAAAAATGACACCAAGATAGCAGGCCCAGTGCAAACTGTTGTGGCCGTCGTTGTCTACCACCTTCTGAAAAGTTTCAATCAATCAATCAATCAATCCACTAATCAATCAATCCACTAATCAATCAATCCACTAATCAAACAAACAAGCAATCAATCGACCAACGAATCAGTCAACCAACGAACCAGTCAACCATCGAAATCAGTTACACAATCAATCTCTACTAGTCTAGATTCGAGTCGATTTTTTAAAAAACTTTTCATTCATACCATAAAGTAATAAAACTAACAGCAATAATAATATCATCAATAATCAAAACAACATTAATAATAACAACAACAATGAAGATGAATTGAAATAAACATGACGCACAATAGAGGCCCCATGCGATATAAGAAACGCCACCATGACGTTATTTCCGGTTTGAGATGCAACCATCAATGGTGATCTTCCCAATCTATCTGGGGTATCAACTGGCACCCCACTCTGCAACAAATGCAACATATCTAACTAAACTCATTGAAATATTTCAAATTAAAATAATAATTAAGTAAGAAGAACAAAGTGTGATCTTCACCTTCAGCAATAAATAAACAACCTCAAAATGACCTTTATAAACTGCCCAATGTATTGGTCTCTGGCCATCGGAATTTTGGCTGGGTTCATTTAAGGAACCATCTGCTACACTAAATAAAAGTAGATCGATGAAACATCGAACTAGTTCTACTGAACCGCAAAAACAGACCCAATGAAATGGCGTACAGCCCATGTCGTCAACGGTTTTTAAAATTTCGCAGCCGTGTAATTCTGTGTAGCGAAGAACTTTTAAAGTCTCTCTGGATAGAATGGTGAAAATATTTTGTGCTCTTATAGAAAGAAATAAACTATTAAAAATAGTAATAATTAATCAAATAATAAAAGGTGTTTGTCAGCTGGTTGAAAAGGCGTTAAAAAATTTAATTAAATGAAAATCATTTACGCTTCATTAAATATTAAATTAATAACCCATTTACCCATATTTTACAAGATCGAAAAAATCTCGAACGTCTGGCTCGTTTGAGACTATTAAATTCGCCATTCTCAACGGAGAAACTTACTTGACTGACAACAAAGTCCTAATGAAACTAAGAGGAAAAACCGTCAAATTTAAAAGTGTTATCAAATGTGGTATCAAAGACTATGAATGTATGTATGTATGTGTTCTGCTCCTACTACTACTGCTGCTGCTAAAGTTATTACCACTGCTGCTGCTACTACTACTACTACTATCACAGCTATTCAAATGATAGTGGACTGTTCTAATAATAGAATGATTTTAGATGTGCTAGAATCACTCCTTTTAGAATGATTAGGATTTTAGGGAATTAACTATTTAAAAATTGCTAGATAGGCGCGAATATGGTTTATCTCTGCGTTTGAATCCGGTCACTACTACACCATCCCGCCACATTAATTTTTATTGAAATCTTTTCCATTATCATTTTCATCCTCATCATTCTCAGTTGTCGTTATCACCAACTTCATCACCATTGTCATCACAAATTTCAGCATCATCATTATTTTTATTTGTTCCCCAATTAATGTGGACCCCGACACGGATCAGCAACCTGAAAAAAACTGGTGGAAAATTTGAAAAACCCAGGAAAACCAGTGGGAAAGTGGGGGTCAGTCCTTGGAACCTTTGAAGCGGAATATCTCGGAAACTACTGGTCAGAATGAAAAATGGTTGATTTTTGGCAAGAAAGCTTGAGCAAAGAAGCAGGAATGACGCGACGAACATTTTGGTGGTTTCAGAGTTGGAGTCGGTTAAGGTTTATGCGCTAGCAACAGCAAAGCGACTGATGATTAGCTCGAAATAATATTATTCTTATTATTACTATTATTTATATGATTTGTTTATCATGTTTACCAGCTGCGTACAAAAGCAACACTTTACATTAACGACCCCAATGTTATTTTTCAGTCAATTGATCAACATATGTAACGTTACTTCTCCGTTATAAATAATTTTTTCATTTAAAAAACACCATCTCAAGCGCAATTTATTATTATTTTATTGATTTTATTAATACTAATCTTATTATTACTACTATAACTGTTTAGATTTTTGTTCTCTTTTGATGTTGTTGTCGTAGAAAATTCATTTCTTGACATAGCCATCATGTTTTTCAATCTGCTAAATCGCTACCACCACTGCTACTACTGCTGCTGCTGCTACTACTACTACTACTACCACCACAACTACTACTACTACTAGTGGTAGTAAATGATTTCATGATATTGCCATGATATTTTTCATTTAATAAAATGAATTTTTGTGGAGAAGAAAAATTAGATCGCAAAAAGAAGATCATCTAATCTCAGTCTATCAAAACACTTTAACACACACACGCACACGCACAAACTCTCGGCTAAAGAAAAAATCTTCAAGATGATAAAAATATCATCATCTCGAGTTATATGTAATGAAAATAACATCACGCATATGACAAAAATCGATCAAACGTTACATTCACATCATGTTACACGTTAATAAAAATCCTCTCAGAAAAAAATACATAAAATCATTTTCCTACATATAATAAAATAAATAAATAAATATATAATAAATTTATTTTTCTTCAGAATTTTTTGAAAATAGCATTATTTTTCTAGTCGTTCGAGTTGTTCAGGGCCAAATCACGCAGCGAAAACATAACATCTGTGGCAGTAACTAGAAATCTTTCTAACTTACTAGCCATACTAACTTACTAACTATACTAACTTAATGAAGATACAAAAATACTACCTAAAGATACTACTTGACAATGTTTTATAACCGAGCCGTTACTTTCTATATAAAGATCCTCACTTTGCCCATTAAGTCAGATGCTAAATTGTCCGGTTTTGTTAAGAGTGAAGTTAGTTTTTCTATTTCTCTTTCTTCACTTCAAGTTTTTTCATTTTTAAATTATTTTTTTTGCTACAATGAATGGAAGTTTAATGTGTCTCTTGTTAGATTAAGGAAATAATGAAGACTGTATTTTTTTCTTATAATTTTTTCGTTGAAATGCACTGATAACCTTTTATTTTTGTTGATTATGCCATGATATGTTTTTGACAGCGCTTTTGAGATTCTTTGAATTAACGCTTTATTAAATTTTTCATTAATATTAATAATAATAACATTTAGGGCCATAATGTTAAATGTTATTAATGATACAACATGATGACGTTGTAATATAACCAAATACAGTCTCCACTCTGAACACAACCGATAATGGCGAATTGGAAGCTGAAAGTCTGTTTAATATTAATAATATTCTTATCAAATGGTACGCAACTTGAAGTATCAATTTTTAAATAGATGTCTATTTTGTTTACGTGATCAATTTTCTTCTTTAAATTTATTCAAAGAAATTTTTCTCTTCAGTTTTTGCAAGCAGTGATGCCGGTTATGGGCAGTGGAGTGAATGGACAGTTGACCCGGAGGACCCCAATACCAAAAATCGGCAACGTGAATGTTTGGACGAAAGCAAGGGTTGCGATGGTAAACTACTACTGCTACTACTTTTACTACCACTGCTACAACTGCTGCTGCCGCTACTTCTAATACTACTGCTACTATTAAAACAAATGACTGCTACATTTCTGTTGAATGTTGAAATATACTTTAGGCAATTCTGACGAATCAGTAACGGAAATAATAACCATACATACCACGTACGTGAACGGCACATCCGGTAGCAGTGGAGGTCTCTCTTCATTGTCCAGTTCCAATTCCGGAACGTCTGGATCATCGGGAACGTCTGGATCCTGGTCGATCGGTACCTCGGGATCTTCCAAAAATTCAAGTTCCTCCGTTTCCTACTCGTCTGTTTATTCATCGTCATCCTCATCGTCATCCTCGTATTCATTGCGATTTGGTTAGTCACTTCGTATAATTTATCAATATTTCTGCTAGCTATGATGATGAAAAATTAATTCGAACTGAAAAGCACTAGAGCTAGAGTTTTTTTTTATAAATTTGTTAACACTGTTTTTATTTCCACTCATTTTAAATTTTATCTCTTAGGCGAAAGCTGGGAGTACGAAGAATATGGTTCTTATTCAGTTGACGAAGATACTCCAGATAGTAAGTAGAACGTTTGTACCGTGATGAATGAAATGATATATATTGTCGTAACACCTCACAAGACAGGACCATCAAGTACATTGCAATACCGCGCAATTTAGAAACAACATCACATATAATATAACATCATGTAATACAAAACAATAATTCAAACAATCCTTCATGTTCTCATTCTCTTTCTCTCTTTCTCTTTCTCTCTCTCTCTCTCTCTCTCTCTCTCTCTCTCTCTCTCTTTCAAACTCTTTTTATATCGGTAATAATTATGGTCATGATGACAGCAAAGATAATGGTGATGTTAGATTTATAAAATAGCTAAAATGAATAAATATGAATAAAAGTTTAAAAAAATTGTGACAGAGGAAATTGAGGAGGTCCTTGCAGATTGGGACCCCTGGACGCAATGGGCTCTTGGAGATGAAGGATGGCAACTCCGAAACAGAACTTGCAAGAATGAGAAAGCAAAACCAAAAGGTCCATGCCGTGGTCTCGATCATCAGAGGAGAAGGAAGACATCCAGCACTAACCTGGAGGAATGGGACTACTTTGACGATGGTCATTATGCGCTGGATTTTTTTTCTGCTGAATAAACACCTTATTGAATTGAACCAGATAACCTAATATTGTAATGAGTTTTGTGCTATTTCATGTTTTTCTTCGTTTTTTCTCAGTGGCGGAGAAAAGACCAAAAAAGACCGTTTTAGGTAGAAAATCCGACCAAAAATTGGACGTGATGACCATAAAAAGGTCGTCACCCCTTCATAAAAATTTGAATATTTTCAAAATTTTGGCGCCTCCAGTCAAAGTTGTCTAGATCCGCCACTGTATATATTACGTGCATCTCGCGCTGGTACTGTGCGGCTATAAAGATTTCGACGTCCCGGTTATCCAATTTTTTTCAGATTCCTCAAATAAGGTGGAAGAGGTGCGAGAGGACTGGGAAGATTGGTCAGACTGGAATCTGGACGCAACTGGCTACTGGGTGAGAACCAGGAAATGCAGAAATGGTGAAAAAGGACCCTGCAGAGGAAAAGCCAAGCAAAAAAGGAGAAAGAAGGGATGGATCGAACTGGATTATTGGAACTTTGAAAGTTGGGAAACGTTTCATGTTGTTTTTTATACTTAAGTTTTTCTCTTTGAATATATCAAATTTAAAAAAAATATAACCAAACAATTTTTTTTCTAATGAAGGTCAAAATAGAAAATATTTCACAACTCACAACTGAATCTTTTTTCCAGCTAGAATCATTTTCAATAATATTTGCTGCTATAGCCATTAAAATTTGTGCTTATCTATACTTTGTTAATAGATTACTCTGATGCAAAAGCAAAACACACATAGAAATGAAAAATTTGAAAAAAAATTTTTTTTTCAGCCATCACCGATGTCTCAGAAGACTGGGAAGTCTGGGGTGAATGGACAAAGGACTCGAAAGGAGTATGGTCACGCACTCGCAAATGTAAGAAGGGTGACGGCAAATGCAAGGGAACTGCGACTCAAACAAGAACACCAAAAGTCAAACATATAGACGATGATTGGGAATATGAAGACCTCTACGAGACGATAAGTTAGCGCTATTTACGGTTTTATTTTAATTATTTCTATTACCGTTAAATAAATCAGTTGTAGAAGTATTCCTTTTTGGTATTTATAATTGCGAAGTTTAAACTAAAAACAATAAAACAAATCAATGCAGCTGTAAAAGAAGTGCTTGAAGATTGGTTTGGGTGGGCTGAATGGATGCAGGATGCAGATGGCTCGTTTTATAGGCCAGTTTTGATAATGATACTTTTACTACTATTACTATCATCACTACTACTACTACTATCACTACCACCACTACTACCACTACTACAACTACCACCACTACTACTACTAGTAGTGGTGGTAGTAGTAGTAGTGGTGGTAGTAGTAGTAGTAGTAGTAGTAGTAGATAAAAAGTTGTTTGCTACTTCTACTATTACATTACTAATAATAATTTTATTTCTTCCAATACAACGTCTAATACTATCATTACTATTACTATTTGTTATAATAATAATAATAATAATAAATTATGTCAAAATTCAGAAAGAGGAAATGCAGGAATCCAAAAGGGCCCTGCCGTGGTTCGGATAGAAGGCGTCGCGCCAGGAAGCAATACATCATTGAAGGAGAATGGGCCTACCCTGTTGAAAAGACAGGTTATTATTATTATTATTATTATGTTAATGTTTATGTTGTTGTTGACATTGTTGATCGTGACGATACCTTAGAGGAAGTCAATGATGAAAGCAATGAGAATACTGCTTGCTTGAATGACTCTCGTGTCCTCGATAAACGTATGAAACAATGAGTAAAAAACGCTGAGACTTGCAGTGTGAACAAAAAATGTATAAAAACTGATAAATAAAGAAAAACTTCTAAACATTTTCCTTCTCCCAAAGTTTCCGAGTTCGCAACTGACTGGGAGCAATGGACGGAATGGGTGGAGACGAGCAACGGATATTGGACGTGCCATAGAAAGTGTAAGAACTCGCTCTGCCGTGGTCTCAGTGTTAAAAAAAGGAGACGACTTCCACCAAAATCTCCGAGTGGGACTGGGGGAGGTCAGCCTCCTACAGCAGAGGGTAACGTAAATGAGCCAGATTTAGGAATTGGCGAAATGCATGAGTGTAAGTTACTATTTCTGTTATTGTTAAGGATATTACTTTTATTTGTAATTATTATTGCTAATTTAAGAACAAAAAATTTGGTTTGTGTTGTTGGGACCAGGTTTGAATGCAAGAAGAGGAGGCATGTCGATCGTACACCATAATATGCCATGCGTTATTTTTCTCGTACGTTGTATGAATAAAGTTTTCTGGAAAGTAGAGCTGAATGTTATGGAATACAAATTGATAATGAGCAATACCGTCGTCAATTTTGTTGTTAATTTCTGAAGCTATTGACGGTGGGTGGGGCATGTGGTCGACCTGGTCTCTGCCGACAGGACCAGCCAATACGATCACAAGAACGAGATTGTGTGACCACCCAGCACCACAGTTTAATGGGCAGCCATGTGTCGGAAACAACACGGAGAATCAAGATGTCCGTAAGTTGCCGTGCCCACGATGAAAAATTAAATAAATTAATCAATCAATCAATCATTTGATCGATGATCGATCGATCTATCAATCAATCAACCAACCAACCAATTAATCAATCAATCACTTAGTTTGTAAAGCGCTATTTCTGCAATGTTCAGCAGCGTTCCTCAGTGAATTTTCAAACAGATGGGTTTTGAGATCCAATCGTCGTCCCTCGTCGGAAAACTTTTCAAAAAACCCAAAAATAAAACGGATATTGGCTAAAACGGAGTTTTTACATAAGAGTGTTAAACACGAGTTAAGAAGTGAGAACAAGAAGACGATTGTAAAACGGGGCGTTTAGTTTCATTTAATATATCTGATAAGTACTTAGGAAATAATTTAGATTGAGACTTAAAGATTAATGTTCAAATTTCAAAAATTATTCTATATTTTATAGGTAGCAAGTGCAAGAGAACAAGATATAGAAATATATGAGAAAAGAAAGGGGCACGAGCTACTAGACGAGCCGCAAATTAAAAGCTTTACTTGAATGATAGAGTGTAGAATCAGGAAGACCACAGTGAGTTACAATAATCAATCCTAGATCAAACTGAAAAATTAACAAGAAGGAGAAGAGTAGAATCGTCAAGAAAAGGCAAAAGTTTTTTATTCTACGTAGGTGAAAGTAAGAACTTTCTAGCAACAATATTAATCTGAGAAGAAAGAGACATGCTAGAATCAAAGATAGAGCCTAGACCACAAAACTTGTGAGAAGCATCAAGAGTTTTAGAATCAGGTAAGATAATAGAAGGAATAGTGATAGAGCGTTTAGATTTATTGAAACAGATTAATTCAAACTTAGAAGGATTAAGTTTAAGATACATAAACAGACCAAGCGATAATTGGAAAAAGAGCATAGCTGTTTCATAAATATTGAGAATTATCAACATTATTTCTAAAAAAAATTTTATCCTAAGAAACTTATAATAAAAATAATTCTACGTTCAATTCCATTATTATTAATATTTTATTTAAATCTACTCCTCAGCCATTAACGGGAACTGGGGCTCGTGGGGCCCCTGGTCTATCCCAACACGGGCCAGCAATCCTGAAACCCTATCCAGGAAGAGATCTTGTAATGACCCCGCTCCTTCCGGAGGTGGTCTTGAGTGCCCTGGCAATGATATTGATTATCAACAGTACACCACGCGTTAGTAATAGCTGTCTATTTTATTTTTGTCTTGGTTCGTTTTACGTAGCAATATGTTATTTCACGAAAAAACACTGGTTTAAATAAGGTAGGAATAGTTTTTAGTGTATGTCCCTCTTTTTCTTTTTTTTCTCTACAAAATATATATGTATTTCTTTCTCTCTCTCTCTCCTTTTTCTCACTTTCGACATATTTTCAAGTGTACTTATCTGTTTATCGTAAGTTAACGCATAGTACATTATTTTAGCATCCACTAAAACGTTAAACTCTAAAATAAGAAATCCACAAATAACTTTTTTTCAAAACTCAGCGATCGACGGTCAGTGGAGTGAGTGGACGGCTTGGGTCGAGGGTGATAATAAGCTGGAATCCAGAACGAGAGCCTGTACAAATCCCAAACCTGCCTATAGCGGCAAGATGTGCAACGGTCCGGATTATGATTCCAGAGCCTCTACCAAACGTAATGCAGTTAATTTAGACAATGATTTTTCAAATTTTATTTATCTAAACTATCGTAACACTTTTTCCGAAATTTTTTTCAATATATGTTCTTGTTATACTATCAGTATAATTTACAATTTAGAGGAGTAAAACTTAACTAAAACTCAATTCAAGAATAATCTGCTAACGAAAAATAATGACCAATAAAGAACAAATAAACAAATAGATCAACTAAATGACCAAATAATTGATAAATAAATTAATTAATTATTAATTTATCAATAAGCTGTTGATGGTAAGTGGGGTAGCTGGAGTCCTTGGTCGACAGCTACAAAACAGACAAACCCGGAAACTCTGACGAGAAATAGGTTCTGTGACTCTCCACCGCCTTCCAATGGCGGCAAAGAATGTCCAGACGCGGGAGCAGAAACTTTAGAAGTAAAATATCGTAAGTTTTCACTTTTTCATTTTTCAATTCAAATGTTTTTTTACAGATTTTAATTTTTCTAGAAACGTTGTACAATCTTTAACGACATTATTAACGACACTCAAATGCCCATATGAATATTAACAGGCATCGAAGTTATTAAATAAATTTTTGAAGATGGGTTAATTCGAATGAATTATAATAATCAAGTTACCATCTCATGAATAAATTATGCAAATTTCCTCCCAACCAGCCATCGACGGGGGGTGGAGTCAGTGGACGGAGTGGGCGACACCAGTGGTAGGGCAGAACTCAACTTCCAGGACCAGATCATGCAACAATCCCGCCCCGAGGTTCAGCGGTCAGACTTGTAGCGGTCCTGACACTGAGTCTAAGAACGTTGTTTGGCGTTAGTTACAATTCGTAATACAATTTTTTGTATCCTAAAAAGTAATTACTTATTTTTATAATTATTAATTCTCTCTTTAAATTAATTCTCAAATGTATCAAATCAACAACACACGCGGTGTGAGTTCAGGCGTGGCAGGCGGGGAACATTTTGCTTTCGAAATCAGCCACAGCGTCTGAACCATTATACCATCTTGCAAATGATTCACTATAATTACCTGCACTTAATAGTATTTATTGAAATATTTTAACTGAAACCAGCGGTCAATGGTGCGTGGGGTGCCTGGGGAGATTGGTCGACCCCCTCCAAACTCAGCAACCCTGAAACTCTCATTCGAACACGAGAGTGTAACAACCCAACACCGGCAAATGATGGCCTGCCTTGTGAAGGAGAAGATAGGGATAAGCACGATGTTTACTACAGTCGGTTTTTTTTTAATTTTTTTTTATAAGTGTTATGAAAGTTTTAAGTTTTTATACAAAACTTCATGTTTGATAGCAATTCTACGCAGACATTTCACCTTTTCCTATCCGATTTTTAAAAAAATTTTCATTAAATATTTAAAAATAGGACTAGAAGCTATCAATATATAAATTTATCCACCCGCTAAATTCAGAGGTTGACGGTTTGTGGGGCGAGTGGTCACCGTGGTCTGAGCCGAAGGACGGCGTGTTGAACAGAATTCGTTTGTGCAACAACCCCGCGCCCTTGTACGGCGGTGCTGATTGCGCTGGTTCTTCTATTGATATTAAAGAGGAAATTAAACGTTGGTTGTCTGTCTCTCTTTTTTTCTCTATTTAAAAAATATTCTTATCATTAAAACTATTTAAAATAAATTCTCACTGATCACATATTGAATGTACACGACAGCGGTCAATGGAAATTGGTGTGGGTGGAGTTCCTGGTCAGCTCCCACCGGACTGACTAATCCTGAAACATTGGTCAGGAAAAGATATTGTAACGATCCATCACCAAGCAATGGAGGAGCAAATTGCGAGGGACTGGATACGGATACAAAGGAGCACACCACACGTTTGTTTTGGTATTTAAAAAATTGTAAATATTTGAAAACTTTTTTGGAGTTCCATAAAACGATGACCGCAAATCCCAGACAGAAACCTCAAACATATTTCAACATAATTATTTCAGCTACATTCATGAAAATGTGAAAATGAAAACTAAAACAGCGATAGATGGCAGCTGGTCTGAGTGGACGAATTGGGAATACGATGAAGGGTCGAAGGAAAATCAAAGTAGAACCAGGAAGTGTACAAACCCGGAACCGAAATTCGGTGGAGCTGAATGTCCGGGACCAGCCAAGGAAGCACGTGTTATCAATTTACGTTAGCGACGTTTTTGTTATTTGGATCTATAATTAAAATGTATCGTGAAGGTAATGTGATCCAATGAACACAGCTGTTAATGGAAATTGGGGAGAATGGGGTCCTTGGAGCACCACAACGGGTCTCATAAATCCCGAAACTATATTTAGAAAGAGATTCTGCGACAGTCCCAGGCCGCAATATGGTGGGACAACGTGCGAGGGCCTCGATAAGGATGAACAGGAAATCAAAACACGTCGGTATTTTTTAAATAATTGTTAGGGTAACATTTTAAAAAAAAAATTATCAAAATATATAAAAAAATTCTCATGAATTTGCTCACCCATCCTTTTTTCTACCAGCAATCGACGGACAGTGGGGGCCGTGGGAAAGCTGGATACCCGAACCGAATTCGGGTTCATATACCAGAAAAAGAAACTGCGACAGTCCAACACCATTGTTCGGTGGACAAACTTGTCGTGGAGAACCTTCTGAGAATCGACTGAAAGAGTCCAGTTAGTATCGGTGGATGTTGGATGAGGTCGATGATGTTTGCGACTACGACGACGACGATGACGATGATGGTTATGAAAAACAACCACCAAACAAACGCAGGATGTCCAACGAACTACGACTACGTGAAGAGTAGCGACAAGTGCTACAAACTCGTCAAGCGTAGGATGAGTTGGCAGAATGCAAGAAATGCCTGCAAGAAAATCGATCCAAGTCTCCATCTGCTGGTCGTTGAAGAGGAGGAGGAACAAAAAGGACTCGTTGATTACTTCAAATCCATTAATGGTTAGTACATATTTGCGACTTTCAAAATTTTTAAAATCTTTCTACAGCTAACTTACGTTAAACAAATCACAAAATGGTACTGAAAATCTATACACAATCTTCTATCAACTAATTTTAAGGTTTACGAAGTAATTATAATGAGAATCAACATTACAGAAACCCTCCAGAAAAAATGCGCCAACCCACAAACGAACAGCTTGTTGGTGTGGTCTGGGGCAAAGCACTTCGCAGATGATAAGACATTTTATTGGGTGCCGAAAGGTGACGAACCCCGTCTCGAACTGGCCTACACAAATTGGGTCGACGGAGTCACTCCCAACAATAAAGAGGAATGTGCATTCTTCAAGTTCCCGGATTACAAATGGACGTACGGGCCCTGTGATGGGGAAGATACATCTCTCATTATTACTGACATGACGGATAACGGACCTCCTCCTTTGCCTCCTACGTAAAAAAAATTTTTCCAATTGTTTTTTTTTGATACCTAAATGAATTTTATATTGCGTTTTTGTATTAATGGTTTTGACGTGAAATAACATTTAACTAGTTTTTCTGCACATGCATGTAGGAACATATTGCGTAAAAAAATTAAACCATAGTTTGTGTGCTTTAATGTTTTGTCGTTTTACGTTAATAATTAACTTATTATGAACTTTTAATTAACTATTAAACTGTTATAAGATGAAACTGTGTTTTGTTAGGAGCTGTAAATTTTGTTTTGTTAATTTATATTTTCTAAAAAAATTCCCAACTTTTTTTCAGAAATGTCGTTCCAGATGATGGCAAGTTATAATTATAATTTAATAAATGTAACATATAATCATTCGAAATTTAATAATTTAAAGTATTCCACAATTTCTAGTTATTAATAAATATAAACAACAAAAATATATTATAATTGACGACCTTCTAAACCTCAAATCATTCAATAACTCATTCAAAACACCAAATCCAAAAACAAAATCGATTAGAACTAAATCAAAATCAGACCAGAACTCTCTCTAAACTTTTTTGCAGAAGAAGAAAACTCCGGAGATTGGTACGAATGGGGAGAGTGGACATCAGACGGTGAAGATGCCTCTGTGAGAAACAGGAAATGTAAAAATGATGAAGGAATCGGAAAATGCAGAGGTAAGAGGAGACAAAGAAAGACACGGACAGATATTGGGTATGAAATCGACGACTGGTCTTACGACAAAGAAGGTAAGCCCCGGCGGCTAAACAATTTTTTTCTCTTCTTAAATCTTTTCGACTCCATTTTTTGAAAAATATAGACGAAAAAATTGTATACAACAAATATCTTATTATAGACAAAGAAAATTTTTTTACGGAAGGTGGGAAAATTGAGGAGGTACCAACGGATTGGCAACCTTGGACGGAATGGGTGGAAGGGACTGACGAATGGTGGAGTAGGACGAGACAGTGTCTCAACCTTGAAGCTGCCAACTGCAGGGGTAGGAGGATGCAGAGAAGAAAAAAAATTGTTATTCCACTCAAAACAACTACTGTGGGAGAAACCGGCAGCGAAACAGAAATCGAACCCGACAGCGACAGCAGCGGCGACGGCACCAGCGATCAGAGTCCTGGCGACATGTGGTTCATTGAGGATACAAACGATCCAGGTTTGTAAATGCGTGTTTGACGTTTGTTATTTTTGCATATTTCTGTTTTTATTTTTGTGTAATTGTTGTCGGATATTATTTTTATAGAAAATTTGCCAATTTAGAGCTAAATTTTTTAAATTTTAGATGGTACTCCAGAAAACATTGAAGATTGGGGACCGTGGTCAGAATGGACTAAAAAAGCAGCAGATGGTTCTTGCACTAGAAGTAGAGAATGTAAGAACCCAACTGGTAAGTGTGCTGGCAAGAAGACCCAGAAGAGGACCGTAAGGAGGTGGATCGTTGAAGGGTCATGGTCAATTGAAGTCGACAATGGAGGTTGTTTTTTCATTATACCCATGGGTTTTTTTGAAAACAAGCAAACATGAATTAAATAGTTGTACATAATCAACAAAGTGTTAATATCAAATGTGAATATTTTCAAATTTGTCAGCTGTAAAGGAGGTACCTGAAGACTGGGAGGAGTGGTCACAATGGAATACAGATGGCCAGGGATGGATGTACCGAATAAGACAGTGCAAATCTAAAGGCAACCATTTTTTATGTTATCGAATTTCCAAATTCATTTATTTTTTCACCAACACACTCAATAATATTAAATTGAAAAAGCGCTTCAGTTAATATTTTTGATAAATTTTTTTAAATTTCAGAGGAAGCCAAATGTAGAGGAAGAAGAAAACAAATTAAAAGAAGGAAAGGATGGAGGCTTTCCGGCAAAAATTGGTGGAACAAGGGATGGGGCGTCGGGTGGGGCCATGGCCTTGACATTGAAGACCTTGAAGACTTTTCGTTCGACGAAGAGGATAAAGGTGAAAATTAATCAATTATTCAGCTCTGAAATTTTAGAATTTATAAATCTGCTAATTCTTCTAATAAAAATCTAGAAAAGGCAGAATTTGTTCTTTTGTTCATAATATTTTAGTCACTTATCCGACTTGCATAGGCGTAATGATTCTATTTAAATTTTGATCAAAAGTTCACAGCGTAAAATATGTAACCTTTATTTAAATAATAAAACAAATCCTTGAAATTTTTCAAAAACGTGGAGCAGACACAAACGTGATGGAGGTGCCAGAAGATTGGAACCCTTGGGACGTGTGGATGAAGGGCGACGACGGATGGTGGGTTAGGAAGAGGACGTGCAAAAACACGGACCCCACCAAGTGCAGGGGCAAAAGTATCCAGAGAAAAAAGAAACGAACGTGGAGAGTTGAAGGCTCCTGGTCTATTGAAGATAATCCAGGAGGTAATATGATGATTTTGTTTGAATTTGCGTTTTGAAAATACAAAAGTTATTTTTAGACCATGTAATATACCAATAAAATTTATTCATTCATAAAATCTTGAGAAGCAATTCTTAAAATTCACAAGATTTTGAGGCGAGCGACGAATGGAATGAGTGGACAGAGTGGGCAGAGGGAGCCGATGGTTGGTGGGTGCGATCTCGAACCAGAAAAAATCCCGAAACGAAAGGTAAAGGAAAGTCTGTTCAACGCAAACGCAAGGTCGTTACAGAGGAAACTAAAGAGACCAGCAAAGACTCTGGCGCAACTGAAGAAGACCCTACTTCGTGGTCCATTGATCTGTCTGATAGTGAGTAATTATGCAGCATCTCGTCTCTTCATTATTACGTTTCAATTTTGTACATTCGAATAGTTTAAAATTTGCACAGAATATATTACATAAATGGAATGGACAAACAAATTTTATTAAACTCGATAAAAAAATGAAATAAAACAGATTTGATGGCGGTAGAGGCAGACTGGCTACCCTGGTCGGAATGGACAGAGGGGCCCAAAAATAGTTGGACGAGAACGAGGAAATGTATCAGCGATAAACCAGAACTCTGTAGAGGGAATAAAGAGCAAAAGAAAAGGAAGAGAACCTGGAGAGTTACAGAGGACTGGGAGATTGACGCGGGTGGAGGCGAGAACAATTTTTTTGTCACTACACGTATCCATTTACATTTTTATACCACACCCCATCCATTTATATTTTCAACTAATATATACCTACATAATTTTTCAACTGTTGCGTTGTTACTTACTATGTCTATTGAAGTATTTTATTCAATCATATATTATATCTTACTCCATCTTTACAAAAAGAAACAAAATAGTTATAAAGTAAAAAATTAATTTTGCTATATAGATGAAGAAGATAATTTGTATTCGTGGAGTATGTGGATCAAGGATGAATCTACAGGCCTCTGGGGAAGAGTTGGTTTGTGCAAAAATGGTTCTTCAGGATCATGTAAAAGTAAGAAGAGACAATATAGAAGAAAGAAGAAGATAATGTATGTATCATCCAACACAGAGTTTTTTTAACGTTCATTTTAAAAACCTGAATGATTACTCTTAAATCCACCTTCACTACAGAAATATCATAAGCGTTCTTAACCCGACACTAGAAGATTGGGCTTGGTTCACAACAGAAAATCCAGACGACACTGACAACACATGGAAGAAGAAGCCAACAAAATTTAAGCCAGGATGGTCCTTCAACGGCGCTCTCTCCTGGGGAGGCTTGAACGGAAACGCATTAGGAGCTGGATGGACTCTTGGACTGGGAATTGGATTACAAAGTGGGGTTGGCCTCAGAAAGCTTGGAGATATGGGTTTCGGTTACGGTCTTGGTATTGGTGGACTTGACGCCGATCTTGAATTAGGCATTGGTGAACTGACATGGCCATACGGTGACTGGGAATACGATCTTACGAATGGTAAATTGAAATTCGTTTTTTATTTATTCATTGGTTAAAACAATAATTTAATTGGTAACAGATCGACAAAAAATATAGAAAAAACCATTAAAATGCAATGTGATATATATTCATTGTTATACAGCAGTGGAATTCGTAAAAGAGAATCCGGATCACTGGTATTCGTGGAGCGAATGGACACTGGGTTCAGACGGCTGGGCAACGAGAGAGAGAAAATGCAAAAACAAAGAGGAAAAGGCGAGCTGCAGCGGAAACGCCAAACAAAGGAGGAGAGCTAGGAAGTGGACTGTCGTTCGCTCGTGGCTCATTGAAGAAATTACAGGTGCGTTGTTGCGTTGTTAATTTTTTCGCTGTTCGTTGCTTCCATTGAAAATTGAATTTTATGAATAGGTAAATTGGTTTTATAATGTTACCACTCAAATTAATTTGTTTAGTTTTTAGCTTTTTCTTATTTTTATCTATTAATATTAAACAAATTTTTTTTCTTAGATAATGCCGGCTTGAGTGAATGGTCTGAATGGATGGAGGAGGGTCCAAGACTGGGACTCTGGTACAGAACCAGAACATGCACTAGCGGTTCCTGCCAAGGAAAACTCGTGCAAAGAAAAAAGAGGAGAGGATTTAGATGGGGATTTGGCTGGGGCTGGCACTTAAAATTAGGACGCTGGTACAGAGGATGGGGATGGAATTTCAAGAACATATACGCCGATCTTGATCCTAACGATAAGGACGTCATCTCCGAAGTTTCCCCGTCTGGTTGGAATTGGAACCTTAGATCACTCAACTTGCAGTTTGACAGTCTACTTTGGTGGGACCGTATCATCGGCAACGACTGGCGCTTCGGTCAAGCACTGAAAATCCATAAATCAAAAATGTCCGGATGGGGAATAAATTTGAGCAAAATAAAACAGGGTAGAAAATTTGGACGAGGTCACGAAGGAAGACACGGAGGAAGATGGGAGAGACATGGAAGATTTGGATTTGGTCACGGATTTGGTCACAGACTTGGTCACGGATTTCATCATGAATTTGGTCATGGATGGAGAGGAAAAGGACATCAATGGGGTGCCGTGAGCGGAGGCGGCGACATAAATGTCGGAGGAGCGATTCCAACTGTAGCTACTTTGGACTTCGGCAAAGGGTGGAAACACGCTGAAGGATGTGGCTGGAAAGTGGGTGGTGGTTGGAACCTTGCTGGAAACTTGAAAGCCAAAACTGAAGTCGTCGGTGGTGCCCATGGAGGCCACAAAAGTGGAAGCCACAGCCATGATAACCATGGAAAAACTTTGAGAAGAAATGGTTGGCACTGGGACTTTTTCGGAATGGGACCTATTATGTCAGGCCAGCATTCTGAGAAAACAGTCACATGGAGTAAGCCCCATAAACGTTCCAAACGTGACGTCGTTAAGCCGTCAGGTATGGCTCAAGGAGACTTCGACCTAAATTGGGATTGGGGCAATTGGGACTTTAACATCTGGAACGATAACGGACCGGATGTCAGTCCAGATGACCCCAAAAATCTCATGTGCGCCCTCTGCGAATACGATCTTGCTGTATTTTGATTGGAAATTGATAACTTGAATCTGTTTAACGTGACTCATGATAACTTTTTTTGAAAACAAAATTACAGAACATTACCGATTTTATTAATTAATAAAGAAATTCATTCATGCATAAACCTCTTTGCCTCGTTTATTTAATCAAAAATTGAAACCGAATATAATAAGAGAAAATCTACTTACAATCCAGTCAAAATCGAGATGAGGCACATGAAATAACTGAAAAACATTATTAATATCCTGATGTGTGAATATAAATCGTAACCAACTGGCGCGCGGTGTGCAGAACCGGTCGGAACGAGTCCGATAGCGATTTTAAAACGGTAAAGGAACATCGGAAATTTATATATATATATAATATTACAACAATAATAGTCATCGTTTCCCCATTTTATTCACAAGATGACCGCATCATACGCATATCATTGCATATTATGACCAGCAGACCAAACTACATCACGAATAATAATATTGGTGATAAAAATAGAGTTGACATTAAACATAACGATACTAAATCATTAATATTAAACAAGTTACAAATAAAAGCTTAGGTTAGGCAGCAATTTTACTATTATAGTAATTCTACTATTACAGTATCAGAAAAACACTACCTAACCGTAAGGCAAGATATTATTATCATCAAACAACTTGAACCAAAATACGATCAAAAAAATGAATGAAACAAAATTATCGTTCAATAAACGATCAGATAATCAATCAATTAATTAATTAACTGATTAATTAATTAATCAATTGTATCTCTATCTAGGGAACAAACAGACAAATAGTCAACAAACCAAACGAACATCTAAGTGATAATGCTTTCATAGTAGCTAAACCTGATGTCAAAATTATAAAAGTTGCCATTTAAAATCTAATAATAATAATATTAATAATTACTATAAAAAACATAATAATAATTATAATTATGATAATTATAATTAAATAGAGTAACAGGACCATAAGACGTTATCATATGCCAAATTCAAAATCTAGTGCCTCTATGCACACAAAGCACCTAACATGTCAATTCCTAAGAGTGGTTAGTTAGTGAATCAATGGATCAATCATCAGTGGTTTTGAATTCGATAATTTATCAAATAATATAATTATTTAAATAATTAACAACAGCAATAATAATAATGATAATATTAAACGATAATAATAATTATTAACATTATTATGATTGTAAACAACAATGAGCCTAGTTATTCATTATTTTTTGGGCTTGAATGCAATCTTCTTGCTCTTCAGTGTCATCCACTTGTGGCGTTTGAAGTAGAACATGATCAGCATAACAGGTATCGAGATGAATATGACCTGGAGAAAAAAAAAACATTAATAACAATAATGACAACAACGATAACAACAATAACTATAGCAGTTATAATGTATTAACTATGTGACACTCTTTGCAGACATGCACATAAAAGGCAGGAAATTACTTAGCATATGAAGCCAGTCACTGCCACATAAAAGACTAACAGACAGACAGACAGACAGACAGAGACTCAGATGCATCATCAGAATAATTATAAATAATGAAATTAATAAAAAAGGATAAAACTGAATATAAAAATGAAACCAAGTAGAGACCTTTAAACCCAATCGTTTCCTCTCGTCATGCTCTGGCTCAGCGCACCATCTTAAAAATGTTGAAATGTCCTTTGCAAGTTGGCTTGTTGTTGCAGGAGTGCCTGAGGGATTATATAAGTTTGTGTGTGTGTGTGTGTTGTGTTTGTATGTATGTGTGTGTGCGCGCGCGCTTGTTTGCGTCCATGTATGTTTGTTTGTTTGCGTGTGTGTGTATGTTTGTGTCTATGTATATTTGTGTGTGTGTGATTGTTAGTGTCTATATATATACTAAGCCCTAACCATCGTCATATTCAATAATTTCATCATACAGTGGTCTGGCCATCCCGATCCAGCCACCAGGAAAGTAGGCATTGTAGTGTAGCCCCTCTTGAACTTCCACCCCAGCCGGAGGGTCACAGTACCCAGTAAGGATTGAGAATACATGGTCCTGGAAAAAGGATTTCAATAAGTTTTTGTTGTAAAGTAATAATGCTATGACATTAGAATAACAAGACCATCATAATCAATTAATAAATATCAGATTAAACCATCATAGAAATTGCCATCAATTAACATCATCAACAAAGACAGAAAAAAATTACCCACTTCTCCTCCGTGCCTGGCTCCAGTTATGAAACTCAAATCAGGAGGTAGGACTCCATTGTTGGCAACCTTGGCTGCCTCCTCGTTCGGGTACGGATTAGGGAATCGATCTGAGAGCTTCCCCGGCCTTAAAAACATATTTCCTTCATCGTTTGGACCATCTTGAACATCAATCTATGAGTACCCATACATGAATTTGATGAATGACTGAAGAGAAAAAAATAAATCAATAGTATCTTTGAAATTATTGAGTTTTCTTGATTGTTTGACATTTGAAATCGAAAAAAACTAGACATTACAGTGTGAAAAACCAATTTTATTTAGTTTTTACAAAGATTTACATAAAAAACTTGATATTAAAATAAAATGCAAATGAAAAAACTGACCGATTCAGCTTCAGCAACAGCCTCTTCCTCAGTGAGAACAGCTCCAACCAGATTTCTATAGTACATGAAATTCATGCTGTGGCAAGCAGCACAGACCTGCTTGTAGACTTGATAGCCCCTTCGAATACTGGCATGGTCAAATGAGCTGAGGAGACCATTGTGACTCCATGGGTACTCTGGGGCATGGAGCTCCTCCCCTGAGGCTGACACTGATAACTGTAAGGCTGTTCCCAGTGTTAGTGCACCTCCAACTGCAGCACCCAGCACCCCATAAGCCTGACAGAAGCAATTAATCAAAAATATGTAAAGAAGCCATTTGTGACATTGATATGTTGTTTTTAGATGAGGATATTAATTTAGATTTTAAGAGCTTCAGTAAACAAATTTGCAAATAAAATAAATGACTCACAGCCTTTTGGGATTTCGGAAGACTTTTGAACGAAAATTTGGCCTGATCGGGAAGTAAAAATAAAAAGCTAATATTAACAAAATGAAAATGTTAGGTGTCTAATTTTTGTTTGGTTCAGTTTAGGGGAGCACAAGGTCATGCATGAGAATGTGGTGTTTAAACATTCATCGAGTTAGTGAAAATAGCACCGGATGAGTAAATGAAACAATAAATTAGTTAGTTGCAAAATCTGAACCTGGGGTACGATTAGATGAGAACAAAATTTCGAGCACACCGTCCTACAACCACGGCTAACAATAGTCGCCATTTTATTTTCGGTCAAACAGCATAGACTACATATCAATATTTTGTCAGCATAGAACAATAAAACTGGCAATTTAGCTCAAATAAAAAAATGATTCAAGGGGAGGCCTATTAACCAATATACAACACTTTCTTATGGGTTGAAGCAGGGATATGCAAAGAATCTCATTTTTTCAACTTTTAAATATTTTCAGTAATGTCGATTTTTTTTTAAATTTATACCAAATGAAAGTAATTAATTACCAAATTGCATAACAATGAAAAAAAATTAAAATTTTAACATTTTAAATAGAAACAACATTCCGTAATTAGTTAATATACGATCATAACTTTTGACCATGTAACTAGAATAAATATAATGTTAGGAAGCAAAATCAAATGGTGTTCGTTCATTTTTAACGGTCTAACAAGGAGCTTACTTCCGTAGGGGCGTTGGAGGGTGATTTTTTATCGTTTGAGTCAAAATTATTTATTTCGGAATATTGCTTTTATTTAAAATGTTTTGAAAGGTTTTAAATTAAAATTTTTTTAAATTATTGTTCAGTGAGGTAATTAATTACTTTCATTTGGTATAATTTTAAAAAAATAAAATCGACATTACCGAAAATAATGAAAAGTTGAAAAATTGAGGTTCTTTGCGTATCACCGCATTAACCCATAAGAAAGTGTTGTATATTGGTAAATAGGCCCCCTTGCTTTTGATTCGGACGATAAAAAATCACCCTCCAAAACTCCCCTCCGAAGTAAGCTTCTTGTTCGACCGTTGAAAATCAGCGAAGGCGTTATATTTATTCTAGTTATATGTATCAAACAGTATCTTATTGAACAAAGTAGTATCATAAAATGAATAAAGATACTTTTTTCAACAATTAAAAATATTCTCAATTTGATTTCATTGCGATATTGATGATGATGATGATTGCGACCTGACTAATTAAAAAACATCAAATAAAATTTTTAAAATAGGATGGGTAGGTATATCGTTGCGAAATCGTTGGGGGGAAATGACGTCATATTAACAGTATAGTTATTTTACTGGATGGTAGTTAATCAGCCTGTATAAAGGTTATATTCAATTCCTAAACTTTTTACTATATAACCTATATATTTTTATCAACAATCTTTAAAAAAATTTCAATTTGATTTCACCGCTATATCGATGATGATGATGATTGTGACCTGACTGATTAAAAAGCAACAATGAAAATTTTTAAAATAGAACTGAGAATTTGTTATATCGGATATTCGTATATAAAGCGAGCAAAATTTTAATACAAAAACGCTTATTGGCTCAGCTTGGCTTGGCTCGGCTTGGAATTGGATGTTAAGCAAGGTGTGGTCTCCATGTATACAAAATCCATGTATACAAATATAAATAATTAATAAGATTATATGCTTATATAAAAAACAGTATAGCAGATTCAACCAGCCAATCAGAAAGTTTCGAAGGCGTTCGATCGTTGGCGTCACTTTAGTACGGTTAGCATTGTTGTTAAGACTGTATAATAGTGTACGACATACATTAAATAAGTTTTTGACTGATGTGAATGATTGAAATGATGAGAATGTATGGTTGGAACGAGTATAAATAGGAGCTGAGACAAAACGAACTTCAGATCAGGCATTCTGCCTCGCTTAAGGCTTGAAGCGGTCTGCCTGATCTCATTTATTTTTTTTTTATTTTATTTATTTTATTATATAGAGTTATATAGAGTTAGGCTATATATGTTTGTCTGTGGTTTGTATGTTTGTATTTTTTTACTTTAGGTGGGTTCTTTAGCGGTTGCTCATACATACATACATACATCATGTTTGTTTGTGTGGTAATATTTTATGTTCCGTTTTACTCCTTTTTCTCTTTCTTCATGAGTCTTGAGTTAAGTTAATGAAACATAGGTAGGTGAGATTGAGATTAATTTATTATATAGGTAGGCTAGGGCGTTAGGTAATTTAGTTACATAGGTAGGTTAGGGACTTCTATTCTTGTACTCTTACTTGGCGGTGTGTTTTTCGTTTTGTGTTTTTTTTCGTTTTGTTTCACATCATACATACAACAGGTACGCGGTGGTTCCTGGTTTTAGTGGGAATTTTAGTGATTGAATGTGGTAGTTTGCATGGTTATATAGAGTTTGCGCGGTTATATAGAGTTATATAGAGTTATATAGAGTTATATAGAGTTATATAGAGTTATATAGAGTTATATAGAGTTATATAGAGTTATATAGAGTTATATAGAGTTATATAGAGTTATATAGAGTTATATAGAGTTATATAGAGTTATATAGAGTTATATAGAGTTATATAGAGTTATATAGAGTTATATAGAGTTATATAGAGTTATATAGAGTTATATAGAGTTATATAGAGTTATATAGAGTTATATAGAGTTATATAGAGTTATATAGAGTTATATAGAGTTATATAGAGTTATATAGAGTTATATAGAGTTATATAGAGTTATATAGAGTTATATAGAGTTATATAGAGTTATATAGAGTTATATAGAGTTATATAGAGTTATATAGAGTTATATAGAGTTATATAGAGTTATATAGAGTTATATAGAGTTATATAGAGTTATATAGAGTTATATAGAGTTATATAGAGTTATATAGAGTTATATAGAGTTATATAGAGTTATATAGAGTTATATAGAGTTATATAGAGTTATATAGAGTTATATAGAGTTATATAGAGTTATATAGAGTTATATAGAGTTATATAGAGTTATATAGAGTTATATAGAGTTATATAGAGTTATATAGAGTTATATAGAGTTATATAGAGTTATATAGAGTTATATAGAGTTATATAGAGTTATATAGAGTTATATAGAGTTATATAGA